ACAGATAAGTACAAGAACAATGAAGTACTTTCGTCTGATTCTGTTAGGTAAGTTTTGTTCTTTACTATCAAAGTATGAATGTTTGATATTTTGAATCCAAGTTGATCAATAATTCAGAATAAATCCAGTGATAACTTTTTCAGCAATAAAGAAGAAACTTCATTATGGTTAATGAAGCTGAAAGTATTCTTTGAAATGGTATGTTTCTATTTTACTGAATACAAAACTTAACAATTGTATTACTTGTAAATGCTTGGAATAAAAATCAGAAGTGATGGATATTCTGTTAATTGAAAGCAAAATACATTTGAAAGTTACTAAAATGTGCAGTTTATTTCTAGTAAAATTAGCAATTAATTTAATAAAAAGAATTTGAAAGTTTAGACTTAGATTGGATTATTTTATCAAAAGTTAGTCACTTAAAAATAGACGTACTTACGTGTTACTTTATACAAAATACTTGGCATTTTCAGATTTGCATTTCGAGAGCGAACACAAATATTTTGTTAATGGGATTAATATTTGCTATATTAAGTGGTTGCAGCATATCAAGCGCAATTATATTTGTAGCTCATATAAAACACATTTTGTTGACCATTGACTTACAAGCTAGTGCTTTTCTTGAGAGGATATATGACAAAGTAATTTTGCTTGCGTCCATCACAGCTTTTTCGTTTGCTACTGCTTTTGGCATGGTAAGTTTTATTTGAATTTGCGCATATTTCAAAAAAGTTTCAGCATGTAATGATTTGAAATCAGGATGAAAAAAATAAATTCAAATTTAAAATGTGTACAGTTATTTGTCACTTTTTAGAGCAATCAACTTGTTCAGAATTTAAATCATAACTTCATGTGCAATCATTTATTTTTAGATAAACATTTCCACTAATATTTTTTCAGTGAGAATGACCTATTAAAAAATATTTATTCAATTATTCTTACATTATAAAGCAAATAGAAGTAGTAGTAGTTCTCGCAACTTGACAGTGATCTAAATAATTCCAATATGATTTTAAAGTTATTATTATAGGCAGTTTTTTTTTTCATTAACTTTAATCATCTATGTGATACTAGTAGTATTAATATCACAGTTGCCAGAATTACTACTTCTATCTGTTCTGATTTTTGAATTATAATACCAAAAAGCAGTAATCTCAACGAGGAAGCTAATTTAAACAAATAAATTTCATTACTTCAAATTGTGAATCACAAATTGAATAATTGACTCGAATCAAAAAGTTTTTGATTTAAGTATATTTCAATGGCACTTCTCGGCGACAAAGTTAGAACTCATCTGAATTCACACTACGACCAAAAGTATTTCCATGCCAAAATTGGCGGTGAAGTAACTATGTCAGTTGCAAGTAGTTGTAGCATACATATTTGATAATAATTGTCTTTTCCACAGATAACATGAAATTGAATAATCGAAATCATTGAAGAACTGGATTAACTTTGCTCAATTCTATGCATAATAATTTATGAAAATTAATTATAAATCAAAATATTCAATTTTCCTTTTTGCATACAAAATAGCACAGATTTACAGCATGATCTGTCGAGTAGTGGAAGGGATGAAAAGCTTTGAGATTGCAAGTCAAAGTTCAGCAGTGATCATTACTTCACTATTTATATGTTTCTGTCATGAAATACGCATATTGCTTGCTATAATAAGCATTGTACCATTGACAGTCCTTGTGGATTTACTTTCAAAAAAAGTAAACACGCTGTTTTTTGTTGGAATTTATGCAGGATTATTAGAATAAAAATGGTTACAGCCATGAAAGTTATAAAGTATTTGCGGAGCAAATTTAATCAAAATTCATTTTTTCATCGAAAATACAAATGATAATAATAATAATAATAATAATAATAATAATAATAATAATAATAATAAATAGTGCGGTAAAACTTTATTTGTAATATTAAACTAAAAAATTTGTTATCATTTTTGCCGAGAAAATAATCATAAATATGTTAGATTAAATTAGTCTGGTTTAATATAATAAATTTAATTGATAAATGGAATTCATTTCAGCTCTCAAAGAAGTGTGAGGTACTGATGCAAAGCAAACTTAATGAGACAGTTCAGATGGAAAAAGATTTGATTATGGTGAAGAAAGCTAGTAATGATGGAATAACAAGTGATGAGCGTCTGATGAAGTTATCTGCGAAGGTGAGAAGCTACGCTCGAGATGCTATTCTGCTTCAGTTTTGGACAAGTTCACGTTATGGTGTTCTACGTTTCATTCTCTTCACATTTATCGGATGTGCAATGCTGTTAGCTCTTCTTCAGAACAAATCAAAATTTATTATTATTTGCATATGCAAATTTTTGCGCATATTTTAAATCATTTTCAAGCATATCTTTCAAAAGATATGTTTGAATTAGTACAAATTATCTTCTTGTTTCTTTATAATTTGTTTCAAAAATTTTTTGATATGGTATATCGGACTGCAAAATAGAATTCTAGAGATTCAAACTAAGTTTTAAATTATGTTACTAATTTAAGTTATGGCGGTTACTTACTTAATGTAAATCCGCTCATCAAAGAAGGCGATATATTTGTTGTAGTTTTATCAGTAGCACTGATTGCTTCTGAAATTTCTGATATTATAAGACATTATCACGCAGTTAACAAAGGTGTAGCAGCTGCACTGCAGATCCGGAATCTTGCTCAAAGTGATCATGAATTCACGGTAAATAACCTTCTATTTGCTTATTTCTGAAAGTAGATGGCAAATGTGAAGTTATAACAGTTACTTCAACAAATTGCAAGATAATTTAAAATAGCTGGAAAAATAATCAACAATTTTATAATCATTTGTAACATTATTATTATTATTGTGTAATAAATATTGACAAATTTTAGAGCTGAAACTATTTTTTACAGTTTCTTCGAAAAGATAATAAAGATTGTCCAACAGATCAGATAACTATTACGCTTATTACTGCACCTGAACTAGCCCGACGAATAGTACCTAGCAAGAACTGCTATTCTTCTCTTCCATTCATCACTTGTACCAAAAATGTCTTGCGCAATTACAACTACCACAAAATTTTTCTGGTAAGCTCGAGCTCACAGTCAATCCTCATCATCCAAAACTTATTTTGCTTATTCCTTCTTTATTAAGTGTATTAATCAGATAACAAAATAAGCCAAAATTTGTCAAATTGTTATTAAAGTGCAATCAGTTTCATACCTGTACAGGGGAAATAATTTTTGTTCTCAATCTGATTAAATCTATTAATCAACAATTCAGTTAAGATTAGTAGCAGATATTTTGAATCTGAGTTAAAGCATAATGATTATTGCAACTTTATAGATTCTTAGTTTGGTGCTCGCCTTTGCTGCTGGATTAGAGCAACCTTCATACAATATTATTATGGAGCGCATATTTACCGCTATTCTTGGCAATACTTCAGATATTCAACTTCTGATTCGTTGTGCGATTGCTTTATCCATCATTGGTTTTAGTACGCTACTGACGCGTACTGCATCAGTTAGCATTTTTTCATTATTTTTTCGTTAGTTATTTATTATTGAAATTTATATTTAGCATTTTAAAACGACTTGTAAATTAATCTGAGCACCACAAATTATATCAAAAAGATAAAGTACGACATCAGTCTAATGAGTAAGCAAGAATCGAGTTAACATTGTCTAAGAGTACTTCTGAATCTTGTAAATTTTGTCCAAATGATCTCTAGCAAAGTGCTTTAAGCAGTCTATAGAAGTATATCCTTAGCTATATATTTGCTAATGAGTAGTACTTGACATATTAAAAACAAATAAGCACAGAAGATTTGATGCTATCAATTAGTATTTATTTTTGTGCAGAAAAACTGCTTATTTCAGGCAGTTTTGGCAGCAGTGGCATCAGAATACATGGCAGTGTCATTTCGGGTCATTTTGGCTCGTTACTATTTGAAAAGTTCAGCAACAGATCACTACAGCAAATCAGAAATAGAAGCATTGGTTGATAAAAATCAATCTTTAACAACTGAAGCCAAATCGGTATGATCACTTAAAAAGTCAATTTGTTAAAAATTGATGATAAGAAACATTTGCTGAAACAATATGATAATATAATATCATTTAGATTCAGTTTGATTCAGTATTATCTCAGTTATATCAGTAACTACATTATACTTTGATTAGAAAAAATCAATCACTTATTAAAGTAGAACAAATTTACAATTAGTAAAGTAGATCAAATTTCCAAGTATAATTTTTTTAAATTCATCAGTGTACATTGCAGCTATACCACCCCCATTTAACACAATTAATCATACGATTAACATCGCTGATTGTAAATATTACCATTGGTTTCATATCTAGCTGGGAGGTAGGTAATCACTTCTGTTTACTTGACGAATGTTTGCTTGCTTTTCGACTACTCAAAATAAAGCAATAGATCATCTTCAGATTTCTTTGCTAGGACTTGTTATCATTGTTTTCTGCTTCTGCGCGCAAATTGAAATGCAATTTCAATGCTTGCATCACTACTGCGACTTTTCAGACACTCAGTTTATTAAGGTAAAGCATAAACAATCAATCAATACAACTAATTTGATCAAAATCAAGTAAAAATTTTGGTTAAGATATCAATGATGTATGCAAGGAATGAAATATAAAGGCAGTATTACCTATAAAAGAGGTAATAACGGTAATAATAACTCGTCTATTTATGATTATAAATCTAATCATAAAAATTCTGCAGAAAAAAAACAAGTCAGTAAAAGCATGCAGAGATTATGTTTACAAAGCAGCCAGTCTTTCTATTGTACAAACGTCAGTACTCATCTTGAAAGCTGTTTGCTACGCTTTGACAGCATACATCTGTAATCACGGATACAAACATCAATCCCAAGCATTCTTGTACGCTTTACTTCATTTTACTCTACTCAACATTATTTTATAAGTATAGATTTCTATCAATGTATTCACTATCAAATTCGGAAATGATACACTTTGATTAATTTTTCTTCTCATCATTTCCAAGGCCATGATGGTATTTCAGTGATTCTTCTAGACGATCAAAATATAAACACTGATTATCTGCTTAGATCCTTCCTACAAAAACTAATTTTCAGAAGCGTAATTACACTCTCGAGCGCTGTTCAGGAAGTTGTTCTACTGCCAAAGCTTTTCAAAAAACTTCACAAGTCTTGGAAATCGTTAGATCAAACATTCGCTTGCATGCACACTGAATCATTTAAAAATTTACCATCAATTCAGAGTAACTTCAAATCATAGCAACATGATTTTAGACTAACAAAAACAACCAACTAGTGCTTACTTCCCTAAATCCATGGTGATTTCTGAATTGAACTTAAGTCAGACGCAGATGAATCTCCATTACGCATGCTAATTTGCAGTAATCAACTGCCCCCTGCCACTATTTTATTCTGAAAGCTAGTAACACGTAACTTTTCAGAGTATATTTCCAGAGCACCATCCCCTTCACTCAAAAACGTTATGTCCGAAAAGTTTTGCAGACTAATATATAGTAATACTAGATGTCTACAAAACCAGTGATGGTCGCGTCAAATTGATAGATACTCTATAACAACCATAAATCGAGATGACGGTTCTTTTGAGTACATGAATAGAAAATTTGGACTGAACACATCTTTGCATATTCTTTGCAGTTTGCAGTAACTATGCACGCAATCTTTTTACAGTATTTCTGTACTTCAATTTTTTTTTTCAACATTTTCAATAATTTGTGATACAAATGTAAAAAAGTTAGATGATTTTTATTTCAAACAATAGTTGAAAAATAATTACAAGGATACATTGAGAAAAACCAATTTCTTGACAAACAAGAGCCCCGCAGTTGTCTACTAAATTTGATAAAAGGGTATCCCCAGATCTGATAATTTTCATTTGCTAATAAATATTAAAAAAAATTGTACCCAGCCATAGCAATGAAAACGAATGCCACAAATTATTTTGCAAGCTGAAAAAAATTTCTCTATCGTATTTGCTTCATAGACATTCGTAATTCCACCAAATTGAAACACTGAAGAAATTTTCAAAATGTTACAATTAATGGCCAATTAGTAGTACGGACTCCTAAACGTTATTGCCACCGCGATCTTTTTTTACTACCGAAAGTAGGACCATCACAATTCTTGCCACTTCCTTGAATGTCGGCTTAAGAATACTGATAATTAAAAAAAATACTTATTTTAACTACTTAAAGTGACCACACCTAGATTATTCATAAAGACTTCAAACAACCACAATCCAACCAAATTTTTTCTAACTAAGAAAGTACCTCCGGAACTATTCCCAACTGAAGCTGCAACTTGTCTATTGACAGCTTCAGCAGCCTCTTCAAGCTTTCGTTTCCATTCCGGGGTTGGATCAGTAGCCGGAGCCCTGCTTGCCGCCCATTCGTCGCTAGATGACGGTCGGAATGTACAACTGAACGATGACTAAAATGAATTTATACTTACACCAATCCACTGACACTTTTTATATTCTAAATCATGTTACATGATTTTTCACATAAATATAACTAAATTTTAATGTCAAAGTGCTAAAAGTCTTTGACTTTTGACATCCATAATTTAAAAAGCTAAAAAAAAGCAGATTAATTATACACTTGAGTTTTTTTTCACCTGTCTAAATCAGTATAAAAGGATATTAAACCTAATCAGGAATAGTTTCTACTACGCCATGATAAAAACTTATTCATATATTCATTGATTAATATTTGAACATCAATCCAACAACAAACAAATTTCAAAACAGTTAGACATGAAATTTTATACAGACAATGAAAGACATAAAATTATATGAAGAGACATCATCTAATGCAAAAGCAATACCTTGAAAGCAGCTTTCATGGCTTGTAAGCGGTTAGTAGATCCATCTATTCCTTTAGACATATCGAGCAAACTTAATCCTTTTTTCTGACTTTCAAAATTTAAAGCTCTGTGTGTATTATTTAAGCTCGTTTGAAAATCCGAACCTAAAACTACTCTATTACTATATTTGCAGTAAAAGGAAATTTATGATATATTTCAAATTTATGCCCATTTCGTACTCTAAAAACGTTTTCGTTACACATTAAAAAAGCAGATTAATTATACACTTGTTTTTTTTTTCACCTGTCTAAATCAGTATAAAAGGATATTAAACTTAATCAGATTTCAACTTAAAAAATTCAACCTTTTAAAAATGAAAGTCACAAACTTTTTACTTTCGGTTTATAGCCCAACCCTAGTCTCTTTTGCGTTCGAGAATTTCCTTTTTCACGAGAACTGCGAAACCACGCAGATTTCATCGCAAGTTGTAATAGTGGCTCAGGAACTGCCTGATTAACACTTTCCAAATTCCTAACCAAATGTCCAGCCATTTCCTTATCACTTTCTTGTACTAATGTATATGCCCAGCCTTTCTGACCTACAAAACATGTTAATCAGGCAAATTAAAAATTGATGCAATTCAAGGCATTTTAAAATAGCATAATGAAGAAACAAGACATGGTACTATTTCAAACACAAATCAAGATTGTAACAAATATAATACCTGCGCGTCCAGTTCTACCAATTCGATGCACATGAGTGTCAATGTCCCGTGCTAGGTCAAAATTTACTACTGTCCTGATTTCTGGAATGTCAAGACCACGTGCTGCAAAAAAAGCCCAATTTCGAAATAATCTGTTTTTGATAAGAAGAACAAAAATATGAAAACTATTTTTGAAAGTTCGACTGAATTTTCACTAGACAGCATGTTGTTAAAAGAATTGAGAATTAAATCTCACCAGCAACATCCGTAGCAACCATGATATTAGCATCTTTACGAAAAGCTTGTAATTTCTCATTGCGCTCTGCTTGCAACATATCGCCGTGAAGCAATATTGGTTGAAAATCTTTTGCACGCAAACGATTGGCAACATCCTCTGCGTTAATTTTCTTCGTAACAAAAATTAGAACTTTCCCAACTATAACCGAATAAGAGTATAACTCCATTTATTTTTTCAAATTGCGAATAATGGACTTCACCAAATCTTTCATAGCTTTCAGCTGATCAAGAAAAGATCTTTGAACAATTTATTACATGAAAAGCAAATTACTATACTAGATGAATAAGAGCGAAAGGATGATGTATAACCCTACTAGAAGATAATTCTACAAGACGATTCAACAACCATTTCCATTTCATTTCTGTGTTTGCTAATACTTCAATTGTTTGCACAATATCAGCATTGGCCTGAAATAATCCACAATATGCCAATTAAAGTTCAAAAATATCGAAACTCACAATATTTTACTAAATAAATTTGAAATTTTACCTCCCCTACTTCTCCTTGCACAATGCGAATAGGATCAGTCAGAGCTTCTCGAGCCAATTTTTCAACTTTAGTTTTAAATGTGGCACTGAACATCAAGCACTGTCGATCTGGACGAATATGATCTGATATAGACTGTACCTGCGCTTCTGAAGGAGTCAATAAAAGAGAATTATGAAAATTCTAATGTCAATAAAATTTGACAGAAATGTGGGAATTCGAAAATTTTCCTCTTCATAACATAAATTTCCCAGATTACATTCCAGCCACGCTTTTTTGAAAGCCATATTAAATGCACACACTGACTATTTTAAGTGAATCCTTGAGTTTGCGTACATAGAAACAAAAGGATGTAGAAACCTATCGCTAATTTGCATCAAATAAAATGAGAATAACTTACCAAAACCCATATCAAACATTCGATCAGCCTCATCGAATACCAAAAATGTTACACGGGTAAAATTTGTTGCACTGCACTTTACTAAGTCGATTATACGTCCCTACAAGATAATAATGTTAATTAATATCAATAAAGAAATGTTAGTGATATATATTATATATAACTGACAAGAAAAAATAGTATTCCACTTTTTCTATCTAAAAAATATAAAAATTCGAGATGTTTCAAATCTAGAAATTGATATTGTAACTGGTTTCGGTAATTACCGGAGTGGCAATGACAAATTCAGCACCAATGGCAAGTGCATTCTGTTGCTCCCATTTACTTCCACCACCATATGCACAAACGACATTGATGTTATATACTTTGCAGAAACGTTTAGCTTCATGATACACCTACAAGTTGAAAAAATTAGAACAAAAATAAGAGGTACGAATAATTTTTTACTCACAAAACGATAAGAAATAAAAATCTCTGAGTCTCGAAATTTTCTACGTTCAATTTACTCAACTACAGACTAATAGAAAAGGTATTATACTTGCAAAGCTAATTCTCTAGTTGGCACAATTACCAACGCGATTGGTCCGTCCCCTTCTTTAATATCTTCTTGATCCATTATATGAATAATGGCTGGCCAAATATAAGCCATTGTTTTTCCGCTACCAGTTTTTGCTATACCAAGAACATCTCGCCCACTCAATGCTGCTGGTACTGACTGCAATAATCATTTATTTAAAACTGGACAATGTAAAAACAGATCATTACAGAGACAATATTTCTGTTAGCCAAATTTGTGATAAGTGAGGACAAATCATGGCAATTATTACTTTAGCAGTGTTCAAGATCACTGGATTGTAGTTCACTTCCACGATTTCTGCCACACTGCTAGATACTTTATGATAGCAAAACTTTAATTTCGATCTCGATTTATGTTGTAGCCAGATGTCAGAAAGCTATTACAACTAAATTAATCAAAAACAAAAATTCACTTGAGCTTGTATTGGAGTAGGATGTTCATAATCTAATTTCTGGATTACATTCATAAGTGTATCATCAAATCCAAAATGGGCAAATGTTGTGACTGGTTTAGGCGGATTTAAACCAGCAACTTTAAGGTTAAACTTGTTTCTCAGCTCAAAAACTTTTAGAGCTGTCATTGACCTGGAAAGATATATTGCAACTATATATATATTAAAAAATCATGATTATAGTTTAAAATATTGAACTTAATTTTACTTTATTTGTTCATGCTCATGATAGAAGTTTTTGTTGAATGAAGCATAGTTTATTGCAGAATGATCAATTGGTTCCAGTGGATCAATCACTTTTTTCCATGTCCAAATAATATTCCCATCTTCGTCATAATCATAAACTTCCTCTTCTTGAACATTTGTTTGATGATCTTCCATAAATCTGAAACAGAATACACCACAAATCTTTATATAACTCACAATAAAGCATTTTAGGCTTTGAAATTTTCTTTAGACGATTAATTTTTCTAATTTCTTATAATTAGAATGATAAAAAATGATAAATCTAACACATCAGAAACATAGAGATCTTATGTCTCTAATGTGTTAGATTACTAAATATAGATTATAATATACTGTTAGAATAATTTATAGTACGCTTTATCCGTCCAAAAATTTACTAAAATTTACTTAAAATATGATTCCTGCATATCCTCGTCATCAATATCTGTCCTGCCAAGCCCTTTATCTTTTGCATCCTCTAAATCAGTGCCCTTATCAATTTTGGCGCATCGTTCTTTATCTTTTCGCTCACTTTCGGCTTGATCTTGTTTGGCCTTAAATAAATAATCACCAAAAAATTGAAGAAAAAAAATTTTTTTTTAACAAGTTAATGAGATAGCAAACTATAGACGCAAAGAATAAAAACAACAGATAAAGGAAGAGAACGATGATTCTTTCTCGAGACAACATATTAGAAGAATATGAATTAGCTTATAAAACTGAGGTGAAAATCACTTGTTTATCGACACCAGCCATGAAAGCATCTAAAGGATCTTCTTCATCATCATCAGCAGTAGCAGCACCATCACCAGTGCATGCTTCGTCTGCTCCTGGACTTCCCTGTGCTAACTGATATTCTAATTCATCATCCGAGCTTTTTTCTAAATACCTGAAATACAATAAAATCCAATTGTTATCGCTTTGCTCTTGCATACAACAATTTTCATGCACACCTATTATTGATTATGATAACATGAATGTCTCTGTAAACAACCCAACCATGATTAGCATGACATGTGTCTCTCTATATGGCAGATTAATCATAATCATATATAACTCCAGTAGTAAACTCAAGAATCTAAAAGGCAGCGACAAAAATTCGAGATTATGAAATAGTTTCGATTAAATATGCATTAAAGAGATGAAATCAGTTCCATAATTTACTCCAAAAGTTCCTTTCCACTAATTTCAAAATAATTTGGCTACTGCAAACATGAATTTTTAGCACAAATTTTCAAATGCTTCGTAAAAAAATACTTCACCATCAGTGCGTTTAGTACCGACTTACTCGTCTTCGTAGATTTGCTTCTTACGCTGTTCAGGCTTGCCAATTGTGGATTTCCCACCACTCGACATCAAAGCATCGTACTAACAACAAAAATACAGTTCAAAATGCTCAATTAGAACCTACTACTAGAGCTAGGATTATTATCTTCCACAATCACTCATGTTAGATGCCCCAGAAACAAGAAAGTACTTAAAAGCTCAAATGATACTAAGAAAGACAAAAGCACGTATAAAAATTGTCACCTGTTTTTCTTTCATTTGTTCCAGATACTTGTTTGAAATAGCGCTACAGACAGGAATAGCAGTAGATGTGAGCTGAGGTGGTGGTGGAACAGCCCCCATATATCCTGACGAACTCGGAAAACGAACAGTAGGTTGAAAATCAGATGGTTTCGAATAAACAAATCCTCGTCGCATCATAATGCCACCAGTATCTTATAAAGTACAAATGGAATTAATAAGAGGAAAAATCAAAAGAACAAAAAACTGTAAAAATTTTTATTTCCATACAAATTACATAAACCTATGAAATCGAATGATAAGAGCATAGATAAACTACACATGTGCAAACCAAACTTAAGTATTAAGTCAGCATAAAACATATCTGATCAAATATAAAAACAAAACATTAGTCGAATACGACATATAGCAGAGTTATGAGTTATGAGTAGTATATGATTATATTAGGGTTATTAAACAATTACGACCCAACTGCCCTCTTATTTATTTATTCATATGTCAAACTTGTTCAATAACCCTAATAGAGTCATAACTGTATGTAACGTAATATAATCAGAAGACTGCTTCCAAATCATAGCATTTTCAATCAGCTACTATAAAGAAATTTCGGATATTTTATCCATGAAATTAGAATAATGGCCTTACTTTAATACCAGTACCAAGTTTAAGGTTACAAAAAGCCTTTGTATTCGGACGTACATACAAGTTTAAGGCTTTTTGTAACCTTAAACTTGTATGTACGTCCGAATACAAAGTTTTAGCGTATAACTTGTTTTACTAATGTAACAGAATTGTAAATATGTCGAACTTTAAATAATGTGATATAGTGCACACTAAAAAACTCACACGTGAGTAAAATATTGCAAGCCCAAAAATAAATGATTTATATCCCTCAGGCAAACAAGCCGACATATTATTTTAGAGCTGAAACTACTTGCAGCTGCTTTAAGAATGCAATTCCACAGATAGCAATATTTTACGCAGTTGCAACAAATTATAATGATAACAACAACAATTCATAAATTATCAGTAACGATTACTCGTAAGTAATCGGTGATAATATGCATATATATTAAAAGAAAGAAATCCAATAACTGAAAATGCTGTTGGCATAGAAAGTTATCTCACTGAATGCTGCTGTAAGATTAAGAACGTTGAATTGCCCACGTGCGTCTCATATGACAAATAAATTATTGAGCACATTAATAATTTCTGCAGCTATTTTAGGGAGTACTGTCGCAGATACTCTTCACCTTTAATTTACTTAAAAGACCACAACCTAAAGATGGAAAACAGACAAACAAACTCGACAACGAAATGGTATGTTTGGTGTTAAGAATAATAGAGACAATATTTCACTTTGTCATAGCTATGCAAACATTAATCCTGCATAACTTGCTAAGAATGCGTCGTTCAGAGGATGTTCAAATTTAGAACTCATTGATGGATTTTAGTCATTTATGGGTCACAGATAAATGGACTCTAATTCAGCTGCTTACTCAATGAAAGGAAGTTTAGTTATCATAAATAAATTATGATAAAGTTAGCATTTCTCTTGCACTAGCGATAGTATTGCTTGGTGTGATATCGTGTCATTTATGGACGTGTATAGAATACTTACACTTATCGTCAGTTATAAATAATATTTGCTTATAGTGATATTGCTTGACAGAATCTATGTTATCAACAGTAATCTAACTGCTGTGAATGAAGAGAAAATTCAACAGTAATCTAATTGCTGTGAAGAAAGAGAAAGTATAATTTAAAATACTGATTTGACAACATATAAAACTGATCTTGTTTTTAGATTTACACTCTAATTAGCAAAAAATGGCACTAAAAGGGATATTGGTGAGTGCTGCGCGAGGATTGAAATTCTTTCCGACTACTACACATTATGATCTCGTCTTGTTTGATAACAATCCCGATGGTAAGACACTCAAAGAAAAGTTAGTCTTGCGTGTATTATTAACTTTTCTTTTGTATTTCATTCGATGTATGCAACAATAATATAAAAAGATTGTTCTCAGATTTCTACGGATTGCATTGTTCATACCATTTGCAACAACGTTTAACAAAAATTACAAGACATCTTGTGTTTTTTGGATGTTGAGCTAATTAAATAAATTTTCGCGCAACGTTTGTATTCGATAGACTATTACACTTGAAACCTTCAATCAGTTATTCTGATAAATTGGAAAACATCTCTTATCTCTCGCAACTGATAGAAAATATTAATTCTGTTAATGTATTAATGACGGTTGTTAGTGGTATAATTCAATTTTTCATAAAAAATTCTTAGTAGTGAAAGATAGAATGATTATGATTAGGAAATCAGAATAAGACTTAGTATTTCCATTCTGTTTAATGGGATATTTTTTTCTATATTTGAAAGCAGAGGACATAAATAACTGAACAACTCGGAAATTCTTGTGGCGGATCGATCTTAGATATTTTCTCTTTCGAAATTGTATTTAATGTGAATAAAGTGGTGCTATGCGTTTAATTCACGTATTATTTTATAGGCATGTTGTACAGAACAGCAAATTGTGCACTGGTGCATTTTCTCTGTCGCTTAAGCCTTCTCTAGCAAATATCCACGGTTTAAGACCAGCATTCGAGTTTTTCGCAAATACAAATAAATGGTTGTTTTCTCATGCCGATTCCAGCAATATATTTCAAAATGTGGTTATTTTCACAAGTGGAGTCCCTTCCAGAGCCTTTAATGTTTATGAGGAAAAGACTACTACGAGTAGTGAGCAAAATAAAGAGCCAGTTATATCTGAACGCTCTGTGCAGGCTGATGAAACTTCTAGCAAACATTCTGATTTGAAGATTTTAGTAGACGAATTAAAGTAAGTATTTACTGGAAAAGTGGCCAACACTAAAAATTGTTTCTTCAAGATGATTTTCATAGGTATGTTATACCTACGAATATTTATCTTGAATTCTTTTTGCCACGCCCTTTTTGACTACAGTATTAGAGCTCTTGTGTTTTCATAGAACATATTAAAGATAAGAAAGTCATTTCTTGTGCAAAAATTGAAAAGCAAAAGAATGAAAAGTTTTTCAAATTACTAACTAAGCATCAAAAATAGTTAAAGGATATCAAAGAATTTATATAGATTTTCCTCCTCAAATAATTTATTCTAAGCTAAATTTGCTTCAATTTAAATTTATCAGCTTAATTTTGATTTCTTGCGAATTGTACCGTTTACATTAATAGCTATTCATCATGCATGAGCGATCATCGTGTCAAACTTGTCTTTTTTTTTTCAGATATACGAGGAAAGTGTTGAAAATTTTAGCTGTTTCCAAGAAATGCTTTGTGATATATTTATTTTTGCTAATTTGGTTTTCATTTTTTTCAGCTTGTTGATTTATCTTCGTAGTATTTTTTAGAGCTGATATGCACAATATGTTGGCTGTAATGCTTTTCGAAAATGGATATTTTGAGGATGCAGTTTGTCATTTACATTCAGCTGTAAAATTAGGCTCTATCAGGGCATTGTTTAATCTTGGTTGTTATTACTGCTTTTGGAAAGACCCTGAGGTTGATTTCGATAAAGTATGTTATTAAAGCCAGTTTATGCTAAACAGAAAAAGATACAATTAAAACTTTTGAAAAACTATTTTTAATTAATAATCTTTAGAAGAGATTCATAATTACTGCAAGTATGTCAGTTTGTATATCAGTGCAATATACAGTGCTGGTTTAGTTTTCTTCAGAGTTCATAAAATTGTCTTGTTTTTATAGTGTTTTCCTGCTTTAGTGTAAATTTTTAGGACAGTCATTTGTTAACCTGGTGCTGCAACTAATGCAGGTAATTTAGATTTTCTCTGGAAATTACAAAATTGTGCTTTAAAAAAAGTATATTAGGGATGATGTGGATGGATTACATAAGGATGTAAGCTTCCTTATCACATGTATATTAATTTAAGCCTATGCTTTCAGGGGGCTGGTTTTTTCAGTTTAGCATCCAATCGCGGTCATGTGCAATCTATGTACAATTTGGGTGCTTTGAATCTTAGAAAACTTTTGCGGCATTCTGATACTAACTCTGGTGTTGAACTCATTGAGGAAGCTGCAAAGCTTGGCTGTTCGGAAGCACAATTTCATATGGGCAAATTCATGTTACAACTCAAACATTATTCCAGAGCCGAGTTTTACTTCAGTAAATTAGTACATATAGATGAATACAAGTCAGATTTGATTTCTTGGCTTTCTGTAAAAGATATTCCAGTGGAAGTTCATCAGTTGTTGAAAAAGTTACTTCGTAATAGTGCAATTTAACACTTCTCAAATGTTCTTGGTTCACCACTTACAGATTATTTTTGTTAAATTTTTTATTTATAAATAACTACATTATTTTAGAATTTAAGGATTGCAAGTCACAAATTTTATTCACAACTTGCATCTTGTGGAGTTTTTATTTTCACTTTTTCAATCATACAGGTAGAAGAAAATTATTGTTGAAGTTAAAAATAGTATTAGTTTTAGATGAGCTTATTGAAAATTCGAACTACTTAGTATGGAAACGGGGATTAGTTAGTTAGGTTTACATTCAGCTGCTCAAAATCATTCATAATTGCTAGTTTTTTAGTTTTATTAATATGTTTCTTGTTTATTATAAAATTCTGCTCAGTTTTTTTTAGTTCTTGCAAGTTCTTAGCTTTTATTCATCAGTTTTTGTTACTCTTTGCATTTTGGAAGTTATCTGCTAAATGTTCGGTGTTACTTTTGTTTATATTATTATCTTAATCACAAAGTTTGTGTGGTACGTTTTTGGACTTTATATCCAGTTGTTTGCACATGACGACAGTCATTTATGGCCTCATTCCATTTAATTATTGTACATTTCAGTGAAACTTGATACATAAAAAAATTTGTGTTAACCTATAATAAGTGAGTATTATCTTCATATTTTCAGTTTCAAAAGTCATTGTTGTCCTTCAATTTTACTGATTGGTTTGCTAATTTTATATTCGTAGCTTTATTTACTATGTATTTATAATAATAATAGACATTTTTGTTAGGAACACATTTTTTGCTGAATTATGTGGGGGTTTTTCGTGATACATAACACAATGCGGCTAAAATTATTTATCTTTGTTTGTATAACAAATATCATTAGTCTAGTTACTTTAATTTAAAGTCACATTCTTGAATTAGAGGGAGGGATTCACTTAAGGAATTAGCGTTAAGAATTCAGTTCGTCATGTATATGACATTTTATCTTTCTTGATTTCACTGAACTACCGAATTGTTTTCAGATCTAGCTTCAGAAGTCTTGGTTTTCGCATACACTATCCATATTATGTGTTGTTGGAGGGATCATATTCATTATTTTTGTTCACTGAGGTCCAGCTCATTCATTGTGAGGGAATCGCTGATATTTCAGATTCAGATGTAACTTCTGTAACTTTTTAAAAAAAAATATATCAGTAATAATGATTGCATAATAAGAGTGATTGTTTGGTAAGAATACCCAACAACAATTTTTATACCGGCATATCATGTGTCAGTAAATTAAGGCGCTTTTATGCTTTTTGAAGATCAGAAAGAGTAACTTCGATGTTTGTTTCTTGAGAGATGTATAAAGTAGTGAAATAAAAGCCTGATAATTTTTATCTTTAATTCACACTGTCACAGTTACTTACCTTTTGCCTATTACTGTTATTGTTGCTTTTACTTTTTCATTCGTAATTTACAAACTTACCTAAAGGTTATGTTTCTGCTCTTAGCGTTGTTATCATTTTCAGAATTCGTGTTGGATATTCAGTATACTTTTAATTTGTCATGAGTAATGTTATAGATCACTGTATCAATATTTTCAGTTTTAGAGACTGCAGCATATGCTTGTTTATTGTAAGTCGATAGATAAATAGTTGTAATGCTAGTTACGGCATGATTTTTGTAGTTACTTACTGTTTCTGTGTAAAAGTTTCCTGGTTTTTAATATTTCAAAAAATGCTATGAATGTTACACTTAATAAATAAGCAGCAAGAATTTAAAACGCGAAAAACAACTGAAATCCTTTATAAACATTTATGCTATTATTAGCTCATCAAGTCAAATGTGATGCTCGTAGCATTTGCTGTTATATAAAAAACTAGAAAACGACAAAATGTTTTAGCGACTATAATGTAATTAGTTGTAAGGATATTTGAGTAGGGATTTTTATTCCAGATTCGTGGATATCAATGCAGCCAAGATCGGAGGGAGAACAAGAAAATAGATCAGAAACAGGAATACTTCGTCGACGAAGAGTCGTAAATCGTCCGTTTTCTGTAAATTCACTGGCACCAGCTGCTGTAAATACTATAAATGATATTTCGGCAACTGAAGATGCCATTGATGCATCTAGCATTGCAACTTCATCATCGTCCTGTACGAATACAATGTGCATTCCCGGCAACACGGCAACAATTACTGCACCTTCTTCGGAAGTTGCTGCTTATTCGCAGTCTCAAATTGGTAACTCTTTTATAGGTGGGAAGTCAAGCACTTCTGCATCTTCCAGTACTATTAACAAAGTACCCCGTCGATGGGAACATTGGAATTGTACTGAAATCAACACATTTTTTGAAGGTATCAAGCTGGTAAGTTGCTTTTATGAAAATTTATTAATTGCGGTATCAATTTTTTCACATTTTTTTCTCTATATCATATCTTATGTGGTTATACTTACGCTATCAAAAATTATAGAACCTTTTATGACGAAAATATCGTTGTTTTGGGTTAGATTTTTCAAAAGTAATCCTTCCCATAAAGTTTGTAAGTCTTAGAATGGTTTTGATTTTTAGTACGGAAGAGATTTCGAACAAATAGCGAAATTAATGACTCGACGGAAATTGAATAAAGACAAAGATCAGATTCGTAACTACTATTTCAATTCACTAAAGTTGATAAAATCATCAACACATATCAATGAAAGTAAGTTTGTTCAATTATTCAAATTAAGTTCATAAAATCTAACAAGACAAGTTACGTTTTAATAAATTTTGTATGCAGATGGTAGTTTATTAAAGACACATTATCTTCTAAATTTCATAGCACTACATTCACCATTTCAATTTGTCATGAAAATTTCGCTTTAATGCTTCCAATGGTTATCTTCTTAATCATTAACCATTTCGTTCTTTACAGGTTTGATGGCAAATATACCACGAGATGCCAAGGAGCTGTTTATTTTGATCAATGGATTTGAATGGAAAAGAAGAATTTGTGACAAATTTGACGAAGCAAAATTTCATCAGCTTGTGATGAACGGGTCTGTACATTTTGTATGCTGTTTCTGTCTTCTAAAACTTTTTGACAGTTTTAAATGAAAAATTTGGTGTTATTTTATCATATTCGAAGTTTATGTTCGCCTCACTTTCAGATTCTAGATAAATATTCGAAATAATTATGGAGTTATGTTAATTGCTTGTAGTAAATAAGTTTTAAATGAAAGACACGATCTCATGCTTCAAGAAAATTTCACTTACAGATCAACGTATGAGAAAAAGCGGAAGAAAAAGCAACTTGTGTTGGTGCGTACTCCAATGTGTCCTTCACTACAAAAATGTTTCCCGAGTTTGTTTTTATGAACAGCTATTTTAAAAGTAGTATGATGTGACAGAATATTTTTTTAGTATTAACTCTAGTTCATGAAGTTTTTATCGCATTTTCTGTTTTTGAATATTCTTATCATCAGACTTAAAAAAATGAGTTTGTGACAGAAAACTCATGAAATGTTGCTCTTTATTAAAAAGCGATTAAAGGCATCTACAAGTGTGGTGGTAAAAAGTAGATCGTCTTTGATGGTGTCATAACTTATAATTCAGCATGAGTAATATATTTCTATTTTTTTTTGATAATTTAGATTTGTCCGTGATTCTTTTTCTTTTACTGCTTTTGTTATGGTTTTTCAGGTTATAGCTCATCACCACTGCCAACACACGTTTACTTAAATCTCACTCCTCAAACAGAAGCTGATCGTTACTTCGTAGAGAAGCGTGGGCAAAATCCGCTGATTAGAATTAAAATTGCTATGGGTGATCAAATAAGTCGTGTTTTTTCTCTCCTAAAGATGAAATGGAATTTGCGATTACAGAAATCGGTGCGATTTCAGTTTTGCTACTACTTGTTACCTAATTTCTCTCAGAGTTCGTCTTTATTACGAATTTTCTGAATCAATTTGGACAAATTGAGCATTAAATTGAATTATAATTTTTGAAGTGAATTTTTGTATAGATTGGTTGTATAGCGGATGAGAAAGAGCAGGTGCAAGTTGTCCTGTATCCGGATAAAACAACTCGAGTAGGAAAAGTAATTGTCAATCTTCATGAAACAACACCAACAGTATTTTCAGTTAATCGGTAAGCTCTAAGGTGATTAAACATACAAATCTATAAGTTATAGATAATGATAGCTTATTTCACTTTAAACTAAGATTGATACTAGTCATCCGGCACAATTTTTTAAAAATAAAATATTTTTTACTTGTAACTAATGTTTGTTTCCTCAGTCTTTTGATCTCATAATTCGAATTGGAATCTATGGTAATGGTACTTCATTTTATTCCGATTATGTTTACAAGGTTTAGATGATATTCGGCAATACTTCAGTAGGTTATGAAAATGTTGAACTCGAATGTCGAATTTTATGCGTGGATTTAGGTTGATAAGTGAGCTGAAACGAATGGGAACTATTGATGAGAGTAGTGGACACTGTCAAATTGAGACTTCAAATGCTTCTGAAGAATTGCCAAAAGATTCAAAAGTAACAGATCATGCAGATGATTGTGATGATGGACCTTTCACTGTAAACGAAAACAAATTTCGTGCTGGACTGACGGAGAAATCTGTTGACAAGGCAACTGTTACCGAACTTTACTACTTGGTAGGAGATTTTATTTTTTTCGGCAGTTATCTAAGCGAAATTTTATATTTGTTGAGGATAGTTCTCCTTTTTGCACTACCAGTTGAAGTTTTTCTAACTATCTAATCGTTCTTCATTACTAAAATATTTTTGCTAATATATTAAATAACGTAATATAAATTTGAGTGTGGTGAGAAAACCAAAATTTGCTATTTTACATTTAATGTCCAGTAATGTTGTTTAAAATAGTTATTTAAGTGTGGTAAAGAAGCTGAAATCAAGCTTGTTTATTCTACTGGAATGAAGCGAATGGGTGATCCTGAACCGTGGCACATTTTCCTCCAGCTTTTATGCCGTGGTTACGGAGAAGCTCTTTGTAAGGTGATTTTTTTTACCGCTTCAATTCCAAAACAACTTCAACCTGGAGATTTGGCCATAGGAATGTCTAATTTTCTGTTGGAAGATATTTTCATTTTTTTTGCCCACTCTAACTGTAATTCATATTTCATTCAAGTAAAGATTATTATTTGCAGATGCATTTATTTTTCCTTTTTTCAGTCTCGATCGTTTTCTTGAAACTTCTCTCTTTTTTCTGAAATTTGTACTCTTTTGCTCATCATTGTTTTACAGTAGCTTTGCTAATAGAAAATCATGTGTCATATTAATATACATCAAAATTGAAATTTAGAGCACTGAATGAGAAAGCAATGAATTCTTGTGTGATGAAAGTTATGAATCGAAAAGTGCCCCACCAATAAGATATCGATTTATCATTAATCTAATTATGTTTAAAGTAAAAAATAATTACTTTGTATAGTTCTTCAGTCTCTTAATGGACCTCAGAAAACGGCGGAAGCAGATGAGTTTCCTGAACGAAAGTGGCAAGAGAAGATCAAAAAAAAGCGAGAAGATACAGAACCAGCAGTAGCTGTTATGTCTGAATCCACAGAAAAAAATCAAGGATCCGAAGATATTGTAAATGAAATAGTTGAAAATGAGACTAGTGCTTTTATGGAACAGCTTGAAAGTTTAAAAGTAAAGAAGCGTACTCGCACGTTCCATCGACGTTTTCCTGACAAAGTAATTTGATTATTTCTTTCGTAGTCATTTATGGAAATTTGATAGTCATTTTTCACTAGGTACTATCGTAAAAACTAATTGTCATTTTACAGAGAAGCAGAGTCGAATCAAGAATCGTGATGAGTCCGACTTTTAGTGGTCATCCATCTGTATGTAGGGATGATCAGTTGATATCAGTTCATTCAAGAGACGAGAATGTATGGTCTCCGAATAACATCACTGGAACGGAAAATGTTCATGTTGCAGTACAATGTCATGATACAATGAGACCAGAGTTTGCAATTACCTGTGGAGAAAGATGTAGTGGTAGTTTCAGTGAGGTCGTACCAGGATGTGATTATTTCATGCCAAAAAATGATGCTGTATTAGACGCAGCTTATGTCGCAGGAAGTGGAAATCAAGGAATGAATACAATGTTTGGAATTCCGATTGTAGCAATACCGGCTCAAATAACGCCATTGAATTCATTACCTGTTAATGGTAACAAAATAACAAATTTATGTTTGATATTTTGGGTAAAGAAATAAAACACTGCAAATAATGCTAGCAGAGCATGAGCTTGCCTTAAAATGCACAGCTGTTGCAGATGCAGTTGATTCCGGTCGTGGAGAGTTTATGCAAGGTGTAACTCAGGATAAGGTTATTTCTCCTAGAAGCAGTATGGATCCAGAAAGAGACAACAGTAGTTTACTGATGTTATCTCCAATGAAGGAAAATACTCTTCTGAGGGAACTCCAAAGTGCACCTTCCATGGATAAGACTATCGAAGTTATGTTGCAAGAAAATAGTACCGAATGCTATCGTTTCGTTGAGCAGTTTGCTTCCAGTATCAATTCAAATACGGTCAGTGGTGAATTAAGTGAGGAAAGTGAGATAACTTTTATCGCGGAGCAACTTGCGCAGTCAGCTGCTGATACACTTAATTCTGCTACATCTGCTAATTTGAGATCTAACGAGCATAGACATTAGTTATGTACTGAGTTATAGTAGTAATTACCATTTTGAAAATGCTTTTATTGTAATACCTATTTTTCCCTCGTTTTATGGCTTACAAGAAATATTCCTAATAACAGCTGGTTCACAAATAGTATCGAAAATTAAGTGTATTGACTTATCATGATTGATCATATTTGAACAGGTATTTTTGATATTTCAGTAGTTTTTAGACTAACTATATTTCATTTTTCCTTTCTTTTTCTGCTCCTTAAATGTTATTGTCATAGTGATTTGTAATTTTTTTGAAAAGATTTTTGGTGCGTTCTTTTGCGTATTTTCGTGAGTCTTTGAAAAAAATTTGATTTTATTTTCACTAGACGTGAAAGGACAAAAGGTCTTATAAATTTTATTCATAAACAGCAAAAGAATATATATTGCAAAACATAAGCCGTGAATAAACAAAAAACAAAAGCGGTGTTAGTATTTCTGTTTATTCCGTTTTGTTTATTTATTTTTTAGATCTGTTTGTGAATAATGTTTTAATTAGTACGGTGATTCTTTCTTTTGAATTATTTTGAGTTTAATTATTTGACTATGCAGTAATTATAGAACTAGGAACTGTTCAGTAACATTGATCATTACTGTTGTTGAAAAGGATTTTAAATCTGTTTCATAAAAAGAAATACCAATTTTCAAAGGATTAAATTGTAAGAAGGATTTTTGTTGACTTCTAATGCTTACAGTTGCCACAATTACACGATATTTTTTCGACTTCAAAAATATGTTATTATGTTTTCAGAAAAACACTTAAGGTCCGTATGATGCATTTTGTATTTCTAACGTCCTGTTAGTAATGATTTTCGGAGGACTGTTTGTATCCAAAAAAGTACAGGTCGTCCCTAAGAAGCGATAACATTTGACATGATGTTAGTAGCATTTATATCTGACTACTGCAGGGATTATTTAGTTATTTCTACCTTTTGTTTGTTGTATATACCATACACTATATTGTATAACGAAATATTATTGAAGTGCATTTTTATGTTCTTCGATGATCCTGAATTTTTTTATGTTGAGATTAAAAGTGTATCTTTGGTTCAATAAAAATTGGTCCCAGATTCCTGAACCTAACACTTATTTTGTGAACATAATTTCATTATACTTCTGAGTTCATGTTAGTACTCAATTAATGTACTCTATGATATTTATTTAAAATTCATGAGTATGGAATGAATTGATGCAGGTCTTAGTCTTACAGCTATCTTTTATCGTAGTATGCATTTCCTTCAAAGCAAGAGTATAATTTTTAACTGGCCATTTTACTCGGAGTTAAATATGAGTATATAAGGGAGTTAAATTTGAATATTCAGTGTCAGTTCTTTTTTTAGCTTTTAGATAGATGGCATGCAGAAGAGGTCTGGGTTTGTTTATTCGTTGTTTGCAACGCCGTCAACATTTTTTGATACAACCTTGCAGTGTTCTTTCTACCATTCGTTGTTTTCATGCTAGTAAAACGATCAGAGAGGTAGTTACTCCTCAACGCTTTGAATTTCAAGCAGAAACGAAGAATTTGTTGGGTATTGTGGCGAAGTCACTTTACTCAGACCAAGAGGTTATTTGTCTCAGATTCTTTCAAAAAGATATAGCAATTTTAATGACTCTTGATGTTATATTTTGCATTCTTGTTTATAAAAATTTATCTAGTTGCATTTAATTTATGGTGCTTTGGTTTTAAGGTATTCATCAGGGAGTTGATATCAAATGCAAGCGATGCTTTAGAAAAAAGGCGATGCAAACATTTGGAATCGAATCAAGATGCAGACGTTGCGTACGAAATTAAAATAACTGCAGATGAAAGTGCTCGATTAATCGTTTTCGAAGATAATGGAATTGGTATGGATAAGGATGATCTAATGAATTGTCTGGGAACTATTGCTAAATCAGGTAAGAAGCGTTAAAAGTGATTCAAATACTCTTCATCCCCATGAAGTCCAGTTTTTTCATAACTTGTTCATACTGCATATGTATATATAATTAATTATTATCTTACGTCTGTGGTAATGATTCTGGCTGAATCGTGTTCCGTCGCTGTCGATGTGCTCATCTCGCGTTCATTTCTGCTGAGCTGATCGAATGAGATGCTTTTGAATTTCTTTTTGAGCTCTAACGATTGGATATATGCCTCAACTTGCGCTTTTTTCTGTTCCGACTAGTACTACTAGTAATACTAGTAATACCAACCTCTGTCAGAATTACTTTATGTCACTTCTTATCGTGGATGATGATATCTGATCGATCTGCATTTATCTTTATAGCTGTTCTTACTCACATATCGGCTCTGATCTCTACGTTTTCATGCGCGACGACCTTGTACAGAATGGTTTAGCATGCGTGGGAAAGCTTCCAGATTATACTTCTTGCAGAGTTCCAAATAAATACATCACATCACACTATGTCTTGTAGTACAGTTGTTGTGCAACATTTTATCGCATTTGCAAGATGGTGCAGCGTCTTCACACGTTCTCTACAATGTGGTCACATACTTTTTTCAGTTCCAAACATATTTTTATTTTGGAGGTGACAGTATCGCATTTCATCCGTATTGTAGCCACGTCGATGAATCGGCCAATCAACACAGCTTATTACTTGTATCTTATATAGCTTTGCATGACGAATTTTCTACTCTATCTCGCTATTCAAAAGCGGCTTTTTGGCTATTGATACGTTTTTGGCGGTTGGATTTTCTGCGAGTTTGTAGATAGTCTTTAGATAGAGAATAATAATTGCTAAATACTTGTTGTGAGCCTTTTTCTGGTCGCCCTCGTAGTATCCACAAGCAATTATGAAGTTGTGAAGCACTTCTATGTTCAACTCAATGAAGCCCACGTGCTAGTAGGTATCCAGACATGCAGGCTAGATGTTAATTTCGTATTTATTTAGTTACTATCTTATATCGTGGGTCTATAGTTTTGAAATCTTTTGGTTCCAATTTGAGCAACCCAACGTAATAGTTTATTAAATTTATGGTGTGCTCATTCACTGCTTTGATGAAGTTCTTGCCATTTAGTGCAGTTTTGGCTAATTACCCAATTCTCACTAAAATCTGTACTCGAACTTTATCTAGCTTTCACGGATAGTCCTGTCTACCACTGTTGTAAAGCATCTTATATCCTTGAATTCTTTCTAATGACGCTGCCTTATCAGCGCATACCTCCGTGTTAGTGGCTGACTTTTTTTGATTAACTTCTACTTCTACTACATCAAGAAACTGAATAAATTTCATAATATTCTCATCGTTGACAAAGATCTTGAGATCATCCTCAAACACTGGATGGTTCGTTATGTGCATTCTGTGATAGGTGGAAATCGCACCACCTTTGGGTATCTCAGATGAAATTGATGGCTTAAGGAGGTCCTTGTAAGAAACGAATAGGAGAAGATAAAGGCAGTCACTTTGGAGATTTCTTCACTCTATTTTCTTCTCTATTATAATTTCTTCATTGCTTCGCATTACAGCTGCGAACACTTGGAGGTGATGCTTCTCAGAAACCTACTGATCGACGCTGACATATTAATTCTTCCAATGCATTTAGTTAGGCAGCTGTAATTTACTGATTCGAACGCGTTTTTGTTATACTATTTAGTATAGAGAGCTAGTTCCCGTGCTCTTTGCAAACCGCCAGGTTCAGCTGTGTCACTTTTTTTGCATCGTGAACCTGGGCAACAATTTCTAGTTGATTGTCTGCTGCTAGTCCACTTGTGACAGCATTTAACGTCATGACAAGCACCACGCATTTTATTGTCAACTTGTAAAGGTTCGACATACTGTTGTTTCACCAGAACTCGCTACTTTTGTTTGGGACATATTTGGAATCAGGTACGTAATCTCTTCGAAGAACTATGGGTTTTACAGATCTGGATGGTCTGTGAGATGCACTTCTTAATTAAGAGGTACAAACTGCAGGTTAATGAACTTGTGTCTGCATGACTCGTCCTACTCACTTCACTGTCAATCTTTAAAGGATGGGCTTATACGTTTTGGAACCAAATGATTTGTCCAGATATTCATTGTAGGTAAATATTTTTTTTAAGGCTCGAAAAAATTCGTAGAAGAGCAATCTTCGCAAGGTCGTGCATCGTCGGCTGAAAGCATTATTGGCCAGTTTGGTGTTGGTTTTTACTCAGCATTTATGGTAGCAGAAGATGTTACAGTCAAAACTCGCAAAGAGGGAAGTGATAAAAGCTATATGTGGAGGTGGAATGGGTATGCATGTATAATACATTTAATTTTTTTAAATGAACAGAAAGGACGTATATGACTAAAGAAAAAAAAAATTAGTGAGGATTGCTTTTCAATGTTTTAAATAATTTTAGCGACGATACATACACGTTAGAGGACATCGAATTTGCTCCTGTTGGAACACTAATCGAAGTTAAGCTTCGTCCAGGTGATGCAGCTGAATTTTCAAAAAAAGATAAAGTTGTAGAAGTGATCAACAAATATTCTTACTTTCTTACTGTACCTATAACGGTAAATGGAGAACGGATAAATGCAATGAATGCGATTTGGACAATGAATCCGAAAGATGTGTCTGCCGAAATGCACGATACCTTCTTTCGACAGATCGCCAAAACTCATCTGCCTCACATGGCAAATGATCGACCGCAATATACTATTCATTACAAGGTCGCTTAAATCGTTCTTTTTACCTTTCTTTTTGTAAGTAATTCTTGAAATTTGATAAGGTTCCATTTTACAAGGTATTAAAAAATCGCTTTTATGTTTATTTTCTTTTATTGAATTGTCGTGATTATTCTATTTTCCTATCTAAGGCAAAAAATTTTCCAGTAAGCTGAAATGTCGTAAAAGTTGATAGACATTGATGTTATGAGCTATTTGTCACTTTGTTTAATCAACTATAATAATGAAGTCGCTTTAATTCCAGTCAAGATAAAGCTTATTAGTTTTTTTGCAGTTCATTGTTTGAAAGTAAGAATTTTTATCTTCACAACTTTTTTACTTGCTAGTGATATATCTTCACTTTTGTTATTTTTGTTATTTCGCTCTAAGGTAGTTTCGAAATATAAATATGCTGCAGGCAGATGCTCCAGTAAATGTCAGGTCGTTGCTTTATGTACCTTCTCACAATGTATCACAGTTCGAATTTGCTAGTTCAGCTGACCAATATGGCGTATCCTTATATGCTCAGCGAGTCCTCATCAAGGTTGTCTTCTGACTACTAACTGATTGGCTCATCCATTATTCTGCATTGAGCAGTATTACACATAGCCATTCTAGGCAAAAGTATTTGATAATCCAACTTTATTTTTTGCGTATGATACAAGTAATTTGAAAAAAAAAATAGCTATGATGAATTTTGAAAACTTTAAATGCAAATACATTTCTTTACTTAGGCGAATGTCAAAGATCTGTTACCCAGATATTTACGTTTTTTGGTTGGTGTAGTTGATTCAGAAGATATTCCATTAAATTTAAGTCGAGAGATGTTGCAAATGGATGCCGTCCTTGTGTAAGTTTTTTTTTTTTTTTTTGAAAATTTAGTTGTGAATACGCGTATGATTTGTGTTTTAAGGTGATTTTTCAAGTTCTTTACATGCATCCGTTCTCATGATTAAATTTATAACACCTGTTTTCGTTACTTGAATTTTCTTTGAGTTAAAAATTTGATTCTGTTTGTATGGTTGCATCTTTAAGCTCACCTTATGCAGTTTGTCATTAATTATTGATGTTAAATCTTCATTATTTTGCATTTTTATTTTTCTTTATGAAAAAAGATTTTTAACTTAATAGCTAAACTTATTGTTCAGGAAGTTGCGACGTATTCTTACTGACAAAGTGGTATCATACTTCGTCCATGAGATGAAAAAAGATCGAATAAAGTATAAGGATTTTTATAATGGCTACTCATTATATTTCAAAGAAGGAGTTTGCACCGAACCTGATCAAAATATTAAAGTTCGTTTGAATTAAGCCTCATCGAGTTATATTTTCATTCTATTTATCAAGCTGTATCCTGTTTATTTGAATATAAAAATCATTGATGAACAGTGTATCTTAAACGATAATCTTAACCTTCAAATAGATTAATTGATTAAATGATTTTTTTGATTTCTTAAGATAATTTTTGCTTCATCTGATTAAGCTTGTAAAAGGTAAAATTGTGATAAATTAATGTGTCTATCAATTAACTCAAGCACAATGCAGAGATCATTTAATTATGTAGACTACCTTTGAAGTCTTTTGAGATAAAATTTGTAAATTTTTTTCGTTCATTTCTTTATTTGAAAATCACTTTTTATCACTGCAATATTAAATAGTTTAGGAGCAAATTGGTTCGCTGTTACTGTTTGAATCATCAAATTTGAAAGCAGGAACATATTCGTGCTTAAGTGAATACGTAGAGCGGATGCAAAAAGATCAAAATGAAATTTATTATTTATTCGCACCAAGGTCTATTTGATAACTGTTTATCTTTAATCTCAGAAGTGTGTAGAAAATGTATCAATACATTAGTAGTTAAAATATTTTCTGTAGTAAGCTTTCTCAAACAAATCAAAAAAATAAATTCATGATCAGAAACTTCGTAAATAGATTTTTTAGTCGTCAGTTAGCAGAACATTCTCCATACTATGAGATGTTCAAATCAGCTAACAAAGAAGTTCTCTTTGCATACGATGCAGCTGATGAAGTGTGCTTGTTAGCGATGCAACAATTTCGGATGATGCCTATTAAATCAGTGGAAAACTGGACTCGTAGTGAAGCGAAAGATAATGCTCAAGCTACTAGTAAGAATAAAATTTCTGATGCGCAACAATGCTGGTTTTCTTGCATGTATTTGATTCTGATGTTTTATATATTTTTCGGCACTTGTTATTGCAAAAAAATAGCGAAAATATTGTTTTCAGTTGTGAATTTTATACTCATTTTAGCAACTACCGTACGTGATGTTGACAAGAAAGATCTGTTAGATTGGATGAAGACCACTTTGGGAAGTGTAAAAGTTAACGATATAAAGGTAATGTTGTTAATAATTTATAGGAAAGAAACGAGAAAATAATATGAGCAGATTAGATTTGGAAAATTTCAAAAGAAGGAGCAGGATTAATTTTTCTCTGCAGTTTTAAATTATTTACAATTTTAATTGCTCCTGTACTCAATAATCAGCTGGATTGGATTTGGACACTAGATATTTATTTTACACAGCATATTTCTGGTTTGGATGAAATATTTAATATTGACAGTTAATTTTTAAGAACAATATATTTTGATGTAAAAAAACAAAAAAAAAGCAAACTTAAAGACAAAAAATATATTGCCACATGTTCAAGTCATTTCTGATCTCCCTGATGTAAAATTTTGTATTTGTTGTGGTCTTTATCTTTGTAAATTATATCTTAAAATTTAAGTATAGAAATAATGTGAAGGAAATGTTATAGAATTAAAAAAAAGCATTATTTAGGTGTGGTAATGTTTTTGAACTAATAATTTTATGCAAGAAGATTATGGAGATAATATATAAAATAATTTTTGTACTGCATATGCAGTCAGTCTTTGCAAAAATCTGTTCCATTTGCTGTAAGTAACCTGACTGTTTTCACTATCTTCATGTTTGCATACATGCAATTACAGAGCTCAAGTGCTACAAGTGAGCATCCTTGTATGATTACTGTTGGTTCAGAAATGGGTGCTGCCCGTCATTTTCTTCGTATTGGGCAAGTCAAAGATATCGAGCATCTGGCTTTTTTGAAGCCTACTCTTCATGTTAATTTGAACCATCCAATCATTGTATCACTAATCAAATTGCATAAATCAGAGCCATCAGTAGCGGTCCTTATCGCTGAACAAGTTCGATACATATTTACCGTGTTCTAAAGTATTTTGAGAGCAGAAATAAGATAAAATAGATTTAGGATATTAGGAACAGAATCATATTTTTGTAAGAAATTTTTCGTTTATGTTCTTTCTTTTTAAATTATTAGCTTTGCGAAATTTCAACAGTATCCGTTCGCATACAGAAAATTCGCGCAGCTTTCAGTAAATGAGCCTTAATTTTGTTTCAAGTATGAAGTGTGAATGTTGAATAGGTTCTCTGGGAATAATTTTCAAAGCAGATCTCATATTTGTTTTATGACAAAACCTAATTGTATATTACTTAATAAAAATTTCTATGTAATTTGAGCTTATTTCGAAAACTATATAATAGTTTTCGTTTTCAGATTTACGATAACGCGCTTGTAACTTGTGGTTTGATGAAAGATTCATCGAAAATGGTTGATCGCGTGAATCGATTGCTAAGTGAACTTTTGAAACCGAAGTCCTCAATACTTACTCCATAATTTTGTGCTATTCGTTCTGACACCTTGTTCAAGAGATGCGCTATTCATTGATTGGCAATCAGCAAACTGAAAATATAAGATATAAGCTTTTGATTTTAGTCAGTTTGGTTTTGTTTGTCAAGGCATTTTTGTAAATGGTAAACAAGCATCTAAACGAAGAATTTTGTTCACATTTAAGTGCTTGTTTACCAATTAATATTGGTAAAGAATTTGTTGTTTGTACGCTCCAGCTCCATGATTCAAATTCAAATCATATCTCTTGTCAAGAAAAATGTTACTTTATCAGTTTATTTTTACCAAAATAATCAGTTTATTGTTTTTTGCTGTTAAAGGGAATAAAGCAGTGAAGTTGAAAATTATGTGAACGTTCTCAGGGTATTGCAGGTCCCATTTATTTTAATTAATTTGTGGATAAGCATTTGAATGAGAACGAAACCTAGGATTTAATGGGATTTTCCTAGAATTTACTAGTGTGTTGTAGACATAGCTAGAATTAAATTTTCATTTATAAATAGATTATATGTTTTGGTATAGGAATTTGTTTGTTTATCAGAGGTTGAATTATGCAAGCTTTACTCCAAGCTTATGAGGATATGCCTCCTATCACGAGGATTTATACTACCGCTTGTGTTCTAACTACTCTTGCCGTGGTAAGTTGACATATTTCGAATGCTATTAATTTACGCTTGAAGACTGTAGATTTATTGAATTTGAAAATCAAAGTAGACAACATTTCTGTGGAAATATTAACTTTTCCAAAATTACTAAGTTGCCCAAAGTTTCTTCTGATTTTTGTGATTTTCCTCAGCAGAATGACTTGTGAGTCACTTTTAAAATTTGCTTATTTGGTAGATTTTACTATATAGAGAAGGGTCCTTAATATTTGGAATAGAAATTGTAAGTACTGGATGGATTTTTAAGCTAGTTTATTAAAATTATCGAGCTTATTTTTTGCTAACTTGCGATAAAGTCAATTTCAGCAACTGGATTTGGTCACGCCGTTTCATTTGTATTTTAATTGGAACTTAATAATTTATGATTACCAGGTGGATGTGCATTCTTATGAATTCATTCTCTTTGCTTCTCTTTTTTTAGGTTCTATTTAAGAGTATGAAAAAGTATTTCTGACACGCTTCTTTTTCTCGTTATTTGCTGAAATATAACTTTATTTTCCAGTATAAATTGATGTTAGAATGATCAGAAAAAGCGTAAGTCGAGTGAATATGACAAACATATATGTTGCGCACAAATATTTTTGTTTTTTATAGGATTCATTTATTTTCAAATTTTAAGTGCTTATATCACACTTGGATTTGTATTTTCAGTTCTGGCGATTACTGACATCGTTTTGTTTTCTTGGTTCTTTCGGATTTAGTTTCTTATTTAATATGATTTTTACATATCGATACTGTATGATGCTTGAAGAAGGTTCGTTTCGTGGACGACGAGCTGACTTTGCTTTTATGTTCATCTATGGAGCCGTCTTCATGGTAAAATTAATTTTTATTCTTTCAACTGTTAACATTTGTTTGTGAAGTTGTTAAAGTAAGTGTCAGAGTTTTGACGGTGAAATAATGTTGTTTTAGGAATATTAGGTGCTATGTTTACTTTTTTCAAAGTTTTTTTTGTTGACCATTTGAATAAGAACGTCATTTTCTTATTTAGCAATACCGAAATGCAGTGACAGTTTAAACAGTGCATTTCTATTTTCTTAGTATTCAGTTAGGATTACGAGATATAACAGATATTAGTAAGTAATTGTTTGCGATTCCTTCAGAAAACTTTTTCTCAAGTTGTATGATTTTATAAATATTTCTGATTTATAGTTATAACTTTTGTTTTCAAGTGTTTCTGAATCTGTTTTTAAAAGTTTACAGACAGTTTACACGATTTTTTCTAGATTGCTACAAGTGACATAGGTTTTATAACTGATTTTTCTTTTGGAAAAGTAGTTTTTTTAGTGCAGTTAATACGTATTTCTTGGAAGCAGCATTCGAATAGTTTTTTGATGAAAATCCTGAAATGTGTACTAAAACCAAAGTAAATAACATACTGGTTAGATGATTACAATTTGATAGGCTTATCAAGACAACTAAACTCAGTTGAAATTTAACGAAATAAGTAGGACTGATCTGGGTTGAAATGGAGCAAAATATTTAGCTCTTATTCTTTGAAGACTAGTGAAACTAGCGAAAAAGTCGGTGTTCATTATTGCAAGAATGAACTTCATTTCAGAATTTAAATGGATTTTTGCGACATTTCAGATTATTTGTGGAACGTTTGTACACATGGTGTTTCTTGGGCAAGCTTTTACAATAATGCTTGTCTATGTTTGGAGTAGACGAAACCCTAATGTAGCGATGAATTTTTTTGGTGTTCTAAGCTTCAATGCACCTTACTTACCATGGGTACTACTTCTTTTTTCGCTGCTACTTGGGAACAATGCAATCGTTGATTTCGTGGGTAAGCTTATAGTTATAATTTTTCTTTCACTGAAATTTTTTATATTTTAGTGGAATTATGATTTCAATGTACATATAAACTTTTGATGCACTCTAATTTTCTAGTATATTTTATTATCATGAAATGTAACACATCTTATACTTTGATATTTTTTGTACTTGATGACTAAAAATTTAATCTTTTAAAAAAATATTTATGAAGAAAGTACAAAAAAGATGTACATCAAAAGCTAAATGAAAACTGCCAAAATATAATATGGATTACAATTTAGCTGGGCAAAAAGTCACCGTGAATGTAGATTAAAATAACGTCTAGTAGATTTAATTGAAATTTTGTAGGGATCGCTTGCGGACATTTTTACTTCTTTCTGGAGGATGTGTTCCCATTGCAAGAAAACGGCTTTCGCGTTCTGGAAACTCCTCATTTACTCAAATGGCTGTTTGATCCAGCTCCTTCTGAACCTGTACCTGAAGATGAACGACCAGGTGGTTTCATTTGGGGTGAGCAGCCAAGACCTACTTGAACTTTTTCTGCTATTATTTTTGTTTTGGTTACCGTACTTGCCTCTGACAATTTTTGGATATTTCAAACATTTCAAAAAATATGATTTCAAATATTTGCTCACATTACTTTGTTCTAGTGTTTATGATGATTTTTAAAATTTAAAAATTTTTGTTTAAATTTATCGGCGAATTCGTTTTAATTCAAAATCAGTTGTCAATTCGAATTGTTAATTAAAATTTTCAGTTTAAATACACTGTCTCGTGAGAAAAAGTTTAATATCCATGTAAAGATTTTTTCTGAACATATTCCATGATAAGTTTCCGTTGTCTTGTTCCTTTGCTGTGTATGTATGTATTTAAGTAAATTTGGTTGAAATTTGAAGCATATTTTCCAAATATTCAAGGCCTTAGATACATTTAGTCTTGCTATTCGACTGCAATTAAGTATGATGTGATTCATATTCTGCTAGTATGATCATATGGCTCATAATCGGAGAAGTTCGTCAACAGATGACTAATTAAGAAACAGGTATAGAATTTTCTGCTGAAACTTACTTTTTGTTTACATGTTCTCGTGTTAGGGTGGGTTCCTGTTTGAGTTGAATGTGCTGATTATCATGCCCATTTAAATGCCTTTAGAAGTTATTTGCATTGGATTACTAGTTTTTATTTCTGCGACAAGACTGTAATGATTTAGATTTTTCATGTAGCTAAGTATTTCCATATCTCGTAGTTTCGTTTTTGAAGTACTCTAACAATATAATTGAAATATTAGAGACTGCTTTGAATATATATAGATCAGAATTCACTGTTGATCGGCAGTGATGATGGAAAAAACAGTTCTAATTTTCGATTTGCTTCGATTGAAAGGGGGGATTCTTTGATTCATCTCACATTGTTTGCTTAGGAAGTCCAGTTACTTTCTGAAATAATATGAAATGTTTTTTTCTGATCTCATGATGACAAGAGGGGTTTCTGTTGTTGTTTTTTATCTTAAAAAGTTTTACAAACATTAAGCTCTTGCTATTTCTATGAAAGAATATGAAGGTATATATGATTTTATGTTACTTTCCTGATATTGCTTGAAGTGTAGTTTAAGTAACTCAAAATTGCGTAAAAATAATATGTGAAGAGAAAAGGATTTAACTATGTACTACATAAAATTTAGGCTATTTTCGACGTTGATTAATTTCCAAATGGTTTCTTTTATATCAACATTTGTGAGTACAATTGCATTAAACTTTAGAATTGTTTTACGTATCACTCTCACGTATCTTTGTTACTGGTCAATGTCATTTGAGAAGTAAGAAGTTAATTATAAAGCAATATATTTCAGAAGCAAAAAGTGTCGGGCAAGGCAAATAAATTGCCCAACGAACTAAATGGCATTAGATGTGTCCACAACACCCTTTCTTATCATGATTACTTCGATCATCTAGGTGTAGTAATCATTTGTTTCTTTACGTTTCTGTTTATACCTTTTCACACTATCTATGTCTAGTGAATATTATTAGGAAAATGGAACCGTAAATTGCTCTATAAACATGACATTAATTTCGCTGATATCAGATGTATTCTAAATCTGAGTGTGCTAAAGTTTGTAGATATATTTGGAAATTTCAGGTCATGATAATGATTTGATTTTGCATGTTATACATTTCAACTGAGCTTTTGAATTTTTTTGAAACTGTTGTTTCTAGCGCAGCGCATTATTTTGATTACTTTGTACAGTGTTTACTTACGGTAGTGTTCATCTTTCATATTTTAATCAGTAAAATAAAGCAGTTTTTGAAGTTATTTACTAATTACTTAGTAGAGTTTTTCAGAATCTTTCTGAAATATGAAAGCTATTCAGATATTATTAAAATAACACATGCTGAAAATGTTCGCTTATTTGAAACAACTTTTGACTTTTATAATAGCAAACGTTAACAAATGTAGGACTGATTACTTTTATGAATTCAGTATTATTAATTCAGTAAAAAAAAATGGTTGAGTAGTTGTACTAAAGCAAAATATTGGGTTTAGAACAAAAGAGCTGCCATAAGAGAACAGTCAGTTGGGACAAGTCAGCGAATGCAAGAATCTTCATTATGGAGTGGGTTTCGGAATAAGTATAGAACAGCAGAATAGAAATCAGTAAAAGATACTATATTTGAAGGAAATAAGATTTTAAGGCTGGAAGGTACGGCTGAAAATATTGACAGTCTCTTATGTTTATGTGGTCAAGAAAAACAAAACAGTCATAAATGGAGAAAATTAAAGGAGAACTAACTTTTTGTATTTCATTCCGTTGTTCGTAGAGCAATTCGACTTATTACGAATTTTAATATTTTTGACTGTTTTCTGTTTTCATTCCAAGTCGCATAAATAGTATATGCTAGTGTTTCGAATTAAGGAATCAAAAACAGCAGGATATCTTTGCTATAAGTTACTCAGTGTTCGTATAATTTTGTAACCACAAATTAGAATTACATTAATAATTAAATTGTTGAGTAATCCAAACTTGGCTAATTTTTAGGAGACGTGAGTGAAGTCTTGTTGATTCTGATGACAGATTACGAAAATAGTACTAATTGGTAATGCAGTCAAGCAAAGAATATTCAGTATGCGTAGTTTTCTGCGGATTATATCCGTTTACTGTAAGCGATCATAATTGGATTAGACTTTTTATATTGAAATAATGCTTTTTGTCAATGAAAGTATAGTTACTACAGCATTATATGATTTTCCTAATTTTTTGTGATATTCATCACTTGTTCATTAATTTATTTTGCTTACTCAATTCTTTGTCTAGCGAATTTCGTCCGAAAAAACACAATGATGCTCTAACTATTGTAGGAGTGATCTTGGATCAACATCAAAATTTCTATGAAATCAAAATAGTGAATTATTTTTGCTTTGACGTGGTCTATTCGCAAGTCTATAAATTCTTATGCCCTGAAATATTATTCTTCTAAAAAAATTTTGCTACTTTACGTTTTATTTCATTCATTTTTCAATGCTTCTAAATCACTCGCTAAATTACTTCCATTACTTCTTTCGTCTTGTTCCAGTTTCTGTTTCACAGTTATGAAGAATCATGCTTGGTAAGGCTTTATTTAATGGTGGTCAGAATTTATCTGAAATGACATGTTGAGAAAATGTGAAATTTTATAAATCTGAATCTTTCATGATTGTTTGTCTCACTCGTTATTTTTCTTGGAGATGTTTTGTTCAAGGCATTTTTGCTTTGCAAATTGTTTCTTTGATTGTGTCTTTGTAAGATTCGTACAAGCTATTTAATTTTTGCATTTTAGTGTTTGGCGTAATTTTTCACATAAATTAATATTACTGTAAAATTATTGTAACAACAAATCAATTCCTTTCAGTTTTATAGATCACAATCAATTTTTGATGTATTGATTCATTTATGAATTAATTTATTCACACGTAAGACTAAAATAATTTTGAATATGGGATTACAAAGTTCAAGTTCTTACATATGGGAGAGAATAATAATAATAAGTTGCGTTGGCAAATGGAAAGTATTATTTACCAGGTTATTTAATTATTGTTGAATTAATAAGATATGTATTGTCGTGCCGCTCTCTTCAAATTCAGCTAATTAATTTGGGAGATATTAATTGATCGATTAAATGGATTTATGAATAGTAGAGGTTGTTTAAGGATCGTTTGATTACTTCAATAATCGTACAATGAATCAATGGTACAAGAAAGAGGTGTGTCGACAATGTGTTACCGCATGTTATTACAAAAATTAGCACTTGTTAAATGACAAAGAACAGTTTTTTATTAAGGGGAAGAATTGAAGAATTAGATGAAAGATGTGAGTATAGTTGCTGGAAGAAGCGTACTTTCCTTAACTGATATTATTATCATAAGTAAGTTATCACTATTTTTTAATAAAATTGTTTGAATGGTTAAGTATATTCCGTCAAGTGTGTGTTAAATTTTAACTTTTACTTCCTTTCCAATCAGGTCATCATTATTATCAGTATCATCTCTCTGTTCATCAGTTGAACAAAATTGTACAAACTACTACTGCTCAACCAGCGAACACGAGAGTGAAACAAAGACGAAGTACAAAGTAAAGTGGAAGGGAGAATCGTTGAGAGAAATTGCTGTTATTAGATCGGATAACTTGATTTTACAATTGCGAAGCGAACATTTGCCAGATGACTACAATAATTACTTTTATTATCACAATATCAATCCTAACTAACTGTAAGTATTTTCATATTTTATCGTATCTGTTTACATTACTTGTGCACTAAGTAATAACGAGTTTATGCCGATTATCTTAATTCTGATTTTTATTTTGGTTTTTTTCTTACGTTTCGTACTATTTTCTATTATTTTCATTTCTTATCCCAGCTTCAGTGGTACATTTTGATAACTTTTTTTGTAAATTTGTTTACTTCACGAAATTTCATAAATTTTAATGACACAAATTAATGTTACTTCAAAGTATGTACAATTCCTATGTATCTATAAATTGTACTGAAGCTTTTTATTTATATGTTTTGTTATCAAGCTGAAGCTGTTTTGTTTTGTTTTATATTTTGTTATCAAGCTTTTCACTGTTCTCAGTGAAGCGCATTTTTCTTGTTCTTGAACGAACTTTTTTTTTCATATCAGTAATGCATCAGATTCTTGTGTTCAATTATTTAGAATCTTTATCGAGATCAATTTTCAGTAAGGAATGTTGCCAGTGATTATACTGATCTAAATTCTTGTTTTGTTTATAAGAAGAATTACCGACTTGAATTAAGTGCTAATGATATCGAAAGTACAGAGAGTGTCGAATTCAAAGACGACTGCTTGAGATCATGTCTGAGATCATTACTGTCTGGTGGATTTGTTTGTCGCTCACTAATGCACATGCCCAAAGATCAGGTACTTTACTACTATAACTTTCGTTCAATGTTACCTATCAGTTAGTTGCAGAGATTTGAAACTAAGATAATGGAAACCCTAATTAGAGAACTATACAAACGTCATCGCTCTGTGTGAGTGGTAGTGTCCAGTTTTAGGATTGTGTACTTACTGCAGTTGACGGACAAAAAGCTGTACGTATCGAACAGAAACCATCTCAAATACCAGTGAACTTCTATGAGAATTTATGTGCCAAACCACCTGCACTAGGTCAAAATTTCTTTTTCTATTCTTTTTTTACATTTAACGTAGTGTAAAACTGAATACAATGAATCTATTAATCTTACTATTACTATAACTTTAATATCTTTACTGCTCGAAATTATGCTGACTTACATTATTTTAAGTGAAATCAGTGATGAAGAAAGATTGCAGGAGGTGTTGTTGAAGGGTTATTGCGAGGTTTTAAAGGAGGTGATGGAATAATCAAATTTGCACAATCAAGAGGATCAAGCTCATTGATGTTTGTCATTCTGGATGGAGTTCATGTCAATAAGGTGTCATTTTTTATTGCACAACATTACATAAACCAATATTTGTACATTTCCTTAATGAGAATGATTTGTTTAGGACTTCGAAATTGCTTTCTATGAGGACGACATTAAAGATTGTTTCAAAATAACACAAGAAGAGGGACAAAATAGTAAGAAATTGATCACTATAAACTCTGACAATAATGGAATGGCTATCCAGGTAATCTAATTGTCATTTTTAACTCAAATAATCCCGAACAAATGCAAACTAATTAATGATTATAAAGAAACTTGGCAAATGTCAAGTAAAAATTAAGACAACGTTGCCCATCTTTACGAAACTGACTCATTTTCTCGAACTATTAATTCCAGCCATGGACTGAAATTGAATTCGATATACTGAATGATTCCATACTCAATAAAACAGTAACTGTAAGGGAAACAGCAAATAACGAAGTAATTCTCTGCGGCAAGCTAAAGGTGAAAGGAAGTTCAGAAGAATGGCAGAGAGCCAAAAATTATGCAAATGTTATTAGATCTAAAGAATATTGCTTAATTGCGACGATTTGTGGTTTAATGATGCTTTTAAATTTATAGTTCCTTTTTAATTTTGTGCTTCCTTTTTTTAAATTTTTGGAAAAAATCGAGCCAAACCTAATAAAACATAAGGTAGCATGACGGTAACGATCTAATCAACAATTCCACGATAAGATCTCACGAGAATGAAATTACGTTTTAAAGCAGAAAAAAATGCGTATATAGTATATCTTACATTCAGCATTACAATATATAATTATGCTGGAATGAAAGCTTGTTTGTTAAAAATAAACTTAATTTACCTTAGTAAATATTACTTTCGAAATCAGCATAAAATATAAAAATTCAACAAATTACCAAAAAACAAAAATCAATATTCAAATTGTCCTTGATAAATAATTAACAATAAACTGATTTATTAGTTTATTATCTGGGACGATCAAGGCTCGATGCTGTTCTGAAATAGAATGAATCGGTTACGGTAAAATATATTTGGTTGTAAATCACTCTTAAAGGCAACAATATTCACTACTGTACATAAATCAGACATACTGTCAATACTATCAATGTTATGCATGAACAGCTTACGTTCGGTGTGGATCACGTCTGTGTCGTGTTGAGCGAGCGGTTATTTGTTCAGATGCTTTTATACCTGAAATCGAATACAGATTTTGAAGATAATATTTTCACATTCTACTTTCAAGAAACAGTGGTTTCATGAAGTTCATAATAACAATCAACCAACCAACCATTTGTGCAACTGCACAATTGATTAATCAGTTCGTGAGCCTTATGTGCAGCACCTTATTTATACAATTTTACCTTTTGAGTCAGTATTTCTTTCCAACCCACTGCTGCTGATTTCATTCCGTGTAATCTTGGGATTTCCATCGCTGAAAAATTTCACTGTTTAAATGCTTTTTCTTTGATAGAAATGATGAATGACTTACTTATCTGCTGGTTCTGCAGGACGTTTCCAAGCTCTTTCTCGCGTTTTTGAATGTTCTTCTGGAGTTTTTGCTTTTCCACGAGTCTGAAAGTTATAAAATATAAACAAACGACGCGAATTCGTAGAGTAAGTTTAATCGATTGACAAAATTACCAAAGATGATGCATTTTCACGTTTACGCTCTCTTTTCTCTTCACTTTTTCTTTCTCTATCTCTTTTCGTTGTTTCGTCTTCTGTCAACTTATTACTTCGAGCCTTGAAATTAGCTTTATTACGATAAAGACAACTGCTTAAAAATTTTCCAACATGATTCTGCAGAAAAAGTAGTCCGCGCACAAAGATCACCAAATATTAAATTATAATAAAACGACGGTACGTTCATAAAAAATCATTTCTTTTTGGCAACAAATGAATTTCTTGTACAATATTTTAACAAATCGCATGATGTAGAATGGAGACATGAATCAAAAGAAAACTTGTGGAATGCAGTAAAACAAAACAGGTTCCAAAAATTTAAACCCTCAATACCTTTTTGTGAGATGCAAAAGCTTCAGAATGGGAACTTGCAGGAGACGAACCCACTTCACCTTCTTCCATTCTTGATTCTTCTTTTTCTCGATCCTTCCTACCATCACTACGACGTAATTGTGACTCCTCATTTCCTTTTTGAATATGACTCTGTACTCTCTCTTCCCCATCAGATATTTCTGTAAAGAGATACACTTTTCCTCAGCAACAATGAATTACATAGTTTTAGTACTACTTTCGATGATTTCTTCCATTCAAGCAAATCTCACTTGTTTTTCTTTTGGCTATAACCTCCATAACTTGGACATCTGAAGCTTTTTTCTTTTCATCAGTCGAAAGCAAAGCTTTGCGTACTTCCGTAGACCCATTCAATGATTTCCGGCTTTCACTAACATTTCCATCCACATTTTTTTGCTTGCTCAATTCTGTGTTGTCCGCTGAAGTTTTTGTAACAATTTTTGCAGAAACTGTTCCAGCTGCCGCTCTCACGACATTCACGCGAGCCGTTTTTTTCGTCATATCGGTCAGTCTCTGTAATTGGCATGACAAACTTAAGAGGTTGGACTATAAAACAAATTAAGAATTTTCTATCTGGTGTTCTTGAAAGTCTTGTTAAAAAAATGTTTCAAAAGCACTTTTTAAAATATATGAGTTTCTATGCTTATAATCATGCGAGTTTCCGCTGATTTTGCTAACTACATTTTTTACCAACAGGTTATTACATTGTGAAACTGAGATTCAGTGAATGTTTGCGTCTTTCGCATGCGTAAGTGCCCTGAGTAAGAAGCAGCCATCAGAGAAAGGTCATCTCTACGACCTTTTTCAGTGTCATGTACTTTATTGACGGTTTTTTCAATATTTGCAATATGATTCTCTATTAAGGGAAAATTTGCCAACATCTGAAATTAATAAACACTGAAAATATGAAAAGAAAAAAATGCAAAAAATTCAAAAGAATATTAAAAAATATCGTTTGCAAATTGACTACAACAACGTTCTATCTTTTGAATCTCACCTTTCAGAGCAAAACTGAAGGAATTTTTACCTTGATCATAACGATTAAGCAATTTCTTATCATTACATAATTTGAGCCATCCAAAATTGCAAGGCACGATCGGGTCATCCTATACTGCCACTTGTGACATAAAGTTCTAAAATTATAGTTTTTTTTAAATGATTTTTACACAGAAAACACACAAGTTCTAAAATCATTTAAAAAATGCTACCTTAAGAATTTTACACAGAAAACACACAATACCTATAAGATTCGTAATTCATTCCATCGCTTACACTTTCCGTATTCGGAACTTCTGAATTTCTCACATGTAATTTAGTCATGAAGCCAGGAAATCGATAGCATTCCTGAAACATTTTAAACATATTCTATCATTTTAGTTTATATGCTATAGCATGTCTTTGGATCTACTTTCATATTTCCCAGTTAAAATGATTACTTTTTCGAAATGCGATTTATTTCCATGCCAACGTTGCACAGTTTCTAGCACAAGCGCTAAAAATCGTCCAAAACAATTTGCTTCATTTTCTGATAGCGCAGCTAGTATGGCGCCAATGTCATTAAATAACTAAAAATAGTAAATGATAAAATATAACGACAAAAAAAAAACGAAAACAGGAATATTAATAACCTTGTCAAAAAAGAAAACAGTTTGAAAAAAGCCAGTGCGTTGCTGATGAAGCAAGAAAATGAACTGTGCACAAAACGCTGCATCCATATCAGTAAATATTGCACGTGGTAAGATACAGTGCTGAAGGAAACGAGCCATCTGTGTACCTCGAAGTTCTGAAGCTCAAAATTAGATACTTCGTGTTTACAAAACTGGAGATTCACTCACGCAAGTACTGGCTGGACATACAAAATACTGACATAATAATAGGAATATTTTCTTTTTTACAGTCATTCCTTCATGAAATCTTTATTCATACAAGGCTCATGAAACCAGTGATAAAAGATGACTCAAACTAGTTCTGTAAATTCCCCTTTGTTTACAACAAATAATAAAAAATAGTTATTATCAATTAAAAAAATAATACTAAATAATAAAAATTGCATCAATTAATTACTTGGACTGCAATCGGAGAAAAGTAACTCTTTATCATGTAATAAAATGTGTAAAATTCGTTCCACGTGATCACTTTGTTTTTTCAATTCATCGGCAAGCTTCTTTTCTGTGTTACGTAACTGTTCTTCTTCTTTAGCTCTCTTTGTCTTGCTCTGAAAAACGAGCATAATTTCGAAAGCAAGTTGCAAATGTGACATAGCAGAACAATAAACTTTACATTTACAAATATACCAGTAGTAAAATAAAATATCAAAATTTCTAGTTCCTCACAAACCATAAACTTCAATCATATGATTCATAAAAAACAAAGCTGACTGCTTTATGAGTAATTATTATATATATATATGAAAAAAAAAAATATGAAATACATCAATAATAAAAAGAAAATACTAAACACAATAACACTGGAAATTAATTACCATTTCATTATTATCTGCGACTGAAACTAGTACTTTGCGAACACGCTGTAATTCTCGCTCATAGATAGCTTTTGGGACCGAAATATCGTACATACACAATACCCAGGATATCGTAAATATTCTCAAAATAAAGAACAGTTTCATATTAAAAATCCAACAAAAATTCTGGTTTATTTGAAGCCTGTTTCTTTTTAGTTTTGATTCCTTGCTATCTAATTATAAATCCCAATGCACATAAAACGATGCATGACAAAATAATTAAAAAATTCCTCAGTTCTCCCACAATTTTAACAATAATCAGTCAATAACTGGGTACAATTTTAAATCGGCGGAAAATGAATCAGAAATTTATTAACTTGGATGAAATGTCTGCCCAAATAAAATTAGGCAAAAGAGTTTTGAGATGAGATTCTAATTCGTTAATCATCTCATCGAAAGCATTGCGGAATAACATTAGTTTTCGATTTGAGTCCAGCTTCATTTTGCTACCATCCGAGTCACGAAAGGATTTGCGGCTTTTATCGAAATTGTTCTTAATAATAACTTATTCATGAATTTGATTGAAAAATTGAGCTCAACACTGACTTTACTAGTTACTTTTATTTAAAAAGTAAACATAATAAAACATAATAAATTATTCAGTAGATAAGGTAAATGAAAACCATGGTAAATGAAAAAACAAACATAGACACGGTACATGAAGGTTGGTCTTGAAATGAAAAATGCAGCATCTACAGTGAGATGAAAACGGCCAATGAGTTCCCATACAGAAGGCATCCGACAACAGTATTCCTCCTGTCGTACATTTGAACGCAGAAACGAACCAAACTGGACCAAAGTTTCTTGACACTGAAAACCTCAAATTACTTTGTAATGAAATAAATTACTGCAGTCCACAAAGAAGAAAATTTTAACTTAAAATACCTGATCAAGCATTTGACCTGCAAGCTTAAGAGGGATATCTGATGATTCTGTAAACACAATGCACTGACGCTGCTGAGCAGTAAGTATAGAAAGGCCAACAATCAGATGGTCATTAAACAAAGCATCACGAAGACGTAATGTAGCACGTCTATTTGAACGAGTCGTAGAGAAGGAACCAGCCTGAAATCGGAAATATATGTCCATACAACTCAGAAAATGCTACACGAAATCAAATCATTTATTTGAAAAATGAAACAAAATTTTGTTTGCAAATGAAAACTCAATTTACTGCAGTATACCTCTTGTCTCAAAGTATCGCCTCCAGCAAGCGCTTCTAACTGATCTGTTGTCAGTCCTGTTGTAGATTCTATACCCGACATATTTTGTATGATTTCCCGCAACACCAATAAATCAAAACTTAAAATAAATATGAAATGTCATCAACTAATGTACTGCAATCTTTCAAAACGAAAATAATAACATTTTCATTCATGTGAAAATAAGATGAATAACTAAAGTGAGCATATATAGATGATAACAGTGAATCAGGAATTAAAACCGACATTACCTCTTGTTGTTCTTTAACTGATTTGCTACATACTGTAAAACTCCTGTCAATTCAATATTGTATCTTAAAAAAACGTTCCCGACAAAAGCAGCAAGTGACTGTAACCAAGGAGAGAGTGATCCATCTGATGCCTAAAGAATTTTTGCAATCTAAAGAGTGGTACAGACAGAAAAGCAAGTTATGCGTTAGATACTCTTCAAACAAAAAATTTTTTTAATGCTGGTGATAATACCATAGCACACAAATGAAGACCATAGAGAATAACCACTGGTAACTAATATATAAAATTAACATGTTTAATCGTAGTTTATCTCCGCAATTTCAACAATTTTGGAAATAACTCAGTCCAGCACCGATGGCTGAATATAAAAAGGAAGACCTTAAGCTGTTGTTTATGAGGAGCTGCCAGATGCTCAATGATGCAGAAAGAAAGGACATCAAATTCTAGATCACTGAGAAAGCGTATCGATTCCACAACTGGTTCAATCAAATTTTCAAACGTTTGAATCTGAAGCAGAACACACATGATGCTATAACTCTTAATTTTTAACTCAAATAAACAATTCCAATTTTATTTAATGTTAAACAAAAACACTTGAATCCACAATGATAAAAAAGTAAAATTGTAAAGGCTTTTTTAAGGTCAGTAATTTGAATCCTCGATTTTCAAAGCTAAACATATTTGGCACTCTCTAGCAAACAAAAATTATGAAAATCTTTAGCAAAGAAAAAATAAGATGCAATATTACTTGATCTAAGATATAATCGAAAACAACTGCAGGATGTTTATGGCACAGTTTACCCAGTTGTCGACCCATCATGCGCACTGTTTCTTTCGATAACCGCCTACCAAAACAAAAGTGGTTGGTTAGAAATAAAAGTAAAAATGAAGTCGCTTAGAGGTAATACTAAAAATTAGAGGGATTCCCAAAATATCCGACTTCAACACATATCGTGTCATGCCAAAAGTACTTCCACGGCAAATGTTAATTTGTGAATGTCGAACGGTATGAATTGTTTTCCATCGCGCATAAGTTCGATATCGAACTGTATATGGCAAATGACTGAGCAACTTCCAAAGCTCTTGCGAATATGCGAAATTTCCATTAGCTAAAGATAATGCAGGAACCAAAGTTTCATCGATAGCGTCGATCAATGCATTAGTTACTAAAACGACTCTTTATTAATTATTGTATCAAGAGATAAACAACTGCATTTCTTTGCACTATGCTTGTCTATGTAAATGAAAGTTTTGTTAAAAAACGATATCCAATGTACAGCAAATGTGAAATCAAATTATTCCAGTGATTCATCAACATAAATTTTGTAGCTCAAAAAACTATTACTTTTTAATTACATAAACTGAACTGCTCAATGAACTTGGAATGATAGTGAAATAAACATTTATTATTACTGTTTTTGATATTATTTATATGTCATCTGTACACATGGATGTTAATTCTCTTTTTTGCATTACTGGCTATTGATTCTGGCACTGGATCGTGTTGTGGCAATTTGCAATAATATATTATCACTTGTTATTAGATATTATTCAGTATTTATCACTTATCATTTATTATTAGTATTATTTGGTGCTAATACTGTTATTATAAGAAATTGAATCAATCTTTAATCACTTTCACTACACGATATTTGGTATTATTATCACTACTTTATTATCAAGCGTAACTCATTTATTAATTATAGAAAAGAAAAACGAAAAACTAACAGACCTTTATCAACATGAACAGTTTCATCACAAGTAGGTTCTTTCTCTTTTTCTTCAAAGAATACTGCCATCAAACGTACTAGCTTTACGGCTGCTTTGGGCCGATAAGCAATATGTGGGCCGAGGTACGCTAAAACTGGAAGAACAACAGAAACTAGTTCGGACCAGCTCCCAACCTAAACAAAATTATTTATTCTTAGGACCAAAAAGTTATTTTACGTCCACCGCAAGCTAAAATTCTGATACACCATTAACAACCAATTTTACTTTATGATATTTGGTAAATTACGCATACAATCTCGAGAGAATGAGTTTGAGCTAATGATGATCCCGAATTGAATGTACTGACATCACCCAAAGCGACTTTGCATTTCCTTCAAAAAAACTTGCAAAAATTATGATGCTATTCGTTTCATTTTCCAAATTTTAGTTTGAAGATGTGCAAAAAAACCAACTCTTGATAGAAATCATCTGTAGACCGTTCCAGTAAATCCGCAATTGAAAGTGCTATAAAACGACTGAAAATGAAAACCTATAATTCAGAAAAAGAAACTGAATAAAGAACAACAGATTAAAGTTTGTTGGAGCGTTTCTTTCCTATATATTCAATTTATTATTGTTTTTATGCATCAACAATAATGAACTTTTTCAAAATGAAACTTGAAAGAAGAAAATGATACTGCACTTTTTTGTTGTCTGTAACATATCCACACAAACAGTAATTCTGGCTAAAAACTTTAAAAAATTACGAGGTATTAACAGCATAGAATTCAGGTAATCTATCAAGCATTTGTTTCGCAAATTGCCAGGCACCTCCCTCTAGCAAAGCGTATGTCAAACCAAGCTTTTGATTTCTAGCAAGCACTGCATCCTGCAGTAAAAAATAATACCTCTCACTTTTACTTACTGACTAGAATATTCTAAAATTTCATGCAATATAAATCAACGTAGTAAGACTGAATACTCTACTTTATAAATGCAGGTAATATGTTGAATATTTTAATTTCATTTGTCTTTATTAATATTCAACTAAAGAAAATTTAAAATTAACATCATTGTCTTTTTCATCGGTCTTTTTAGGATCATCTGCATTTTGCATGGCCACCACTGAAGCGAAAGATACACCTGAAATAGTGCTACTTTCTTCTGTGTATCCAGTTCCAGCAGACAAAACTTTAGAATCGACTGATGTCAATCCAGTTGACACGATTTCACTTTTTTTAGCCAGTTTAGCATCCTTTTCAACGCGACTTTTGTGATCACTCATCAAATCATCAAGCTTTGGAGACAACTAAAACACGTATTTAAGAATTTTAGTAATGCCCTGAACATTTTGGGATATTATAAACTTTTTCTGCTGACAACTCATATTTTTAAAGTGAAGAAAAATAAAAATTTCTAGATGAATTAGATAGAATACTCACAAATGCGCACAGTGATGCCAAATCTATAATTCTTTCATCACATAAAGCGGCTGCTATTTTGTACAGCGATGCCGGTGTATCACCCAAACGCTAAAATGAAATAGACTATAATCCTGAACAAATCCTTCAATAACTGTTCAAAGTTTACTATAAACAATTTATTCTCTTCCTTTTGAACAATCATGAACAAGTTTCCTGAAACATTCTTTACAAACCTTAAGGAGTGAAATTAACCACCTGATAAAAAGTGAATTTAAATCCTAAAATGCTGCATACATCATCGCCATTTGCTTTAAACTCGACAAGCAAGTCGATAAAAAACTTGCGTCTTTCGAATGTTACTTCAAAACATTCCAAGATGATATCAATTACACGATTTGGATCCAAATTAAACTGTCCTAGAAATTAAATTTAACTAAATATTTACTTTGATGATTTACGAGTGTTAGATTGAAAAAAATGGAAAATTACCAATGAGATGATAAAGTCGACTTAAAGCTTTCGGCACAGTAAGAGACCAATTATCAAGAAGTTCTGTGATGAGTTTAGCATAGCCTTCGCTTTCTTCACGCAATAAATTAAATTTCACTTGCTTGAAACTGAAATGAAAAAGTGTTATTCTTCAGAGAAAAGAACACAGAAACTGAAAGCAACTTTGGTTTTTTCTTAATCAACTCACAGTTGTTATTAATTTATTTATAAAGCCTTACTGTAGTAATAATTTAATTTTGAAAACCTGACCTTCATAGTCAAAAGTCGATTATTAAGTGTTAGTAATTTGATAATAGAATTTTACCTCGAGTTACAAGTCGTGCTCTAGTAAAAATGAAACTAACTAAAGTCTTGTTTTCGTTTTGACAATGCGTGAACGCGTCGTCTGCTCATTAGCACCGAGTATATCCAACTCACATTTTAATATTTCTTCAGCTACGACCTGGAAAATAAGATTCAGAGATTGTGCATATAAAAAAGAAATAGTTTAAAATTATGAGCACTACGAAAATAGTTTCTGCTTCACAATTACATTATCCACTTTTTTTCCAGAAACAACAAGAGACAATACAAAAATCCAATCTGGAAGCAAACAAACTCGGTTAGAAAGCTGTAATACAAAATCCAAGAAGCGTTTCCGACAATCCTCTCTCTTTTTGTCAGTACTCAGCTCAAGATCGAAAACGGCCAAAACATCAACAACCAAGCTTGGCACATCTTCAGCTGTTTTCTTCAAAAAATACATTAAAAAATTAACACGTATTCAATCAAGTCAAATTGTTATTTTAGCAGGTAAATAACTGAAGTTGGACTTTGTGTTTAGCTGAAAAATTGCAAAGTGAAAATGAAATTGTGTTGAGAACGATAAAATATTAAGAAAAGCTGAATTTGCGTAGTGAAAATGAAATTAATTATGTTGTGAATCCCAACAACATCAAGTATACGACGATTGTGCGGATTAATAAACAACTTTTAATCTGACTACAGAGAAATTTACAAGACATTTTCCATGAATTTCATTATCTAAGTGCACATTAATTCAGCTTTGAAGAATATTACTGAATCGTGATATCTCGAAATATTTTAAAGACTATTAACTAGAAAAGTTTGGGAACACTAACCATAAGTGTTCGCACAAGATTATAACCGGCTTCTGCAGATAACTCTCCTTTCACTACACGATCACATATTTCAAGAAGCTCTTCTAAGGGAGTAACGGTTTCAGCTTTCGACGTCATTTAATTCATCTAACACTTCTTTGATTTGACTGTTTTTGTAAGGAATCAATCTATAAATATGCACTAATTTTAAATTGAAAATACGTAAAATCTGAGCTAAGATATTAAGAAAGATGTTATTTTACAGAATCCAACAACAATTCCGTGATTATAGCAAAATAAATGATGATAACATTGTGAAGATAATCTAGGTTAATTTTTTACTGCAGTGCATTACTAGTTTCAAACCATATATCCTTAAAGTCATCAAAATAGCACAGTGTTACTGCAATAGTGGTTTCAATTTGTTTGAAAATGATGTCGCTAAAATTGTAGTGAATTTGTTTTAGTTGAATAATATGTGGAATCCCGCTAGCAAGAAAGGAATGACGCGATTGAAGTATAGTTAATTTCTGTAGTCATGACGTTGGTTGAAACTTTGCCGTATAAATAATAAAACTTACAGTTTTCACTATTTTCACCGTTCTGAAAACTGAAAAGAGATAGATTATAAGCAGTGAAGAAGAGAAAAATTTACCTATATATATATAGGTTGGCATCACTGGTCCGGACAAGTTGATAGCATTCGAGACCGAGAAAAAACGGAATATGATGTACTGGTTAATAAACTGGGGACAGAGATGAATTGCAGGACGAAAATAGTTCCGTATGTGATGACTTGGTATGGGATAGTGACTAATTTCCACAAATGTTACGCGAAGGAAATCAGTGCAACTGATCACGTTGAGGCATATATCCAATCGATAGTACTCAACAAAACGCTCGAAGGCATCTCATTCAATCAGTGCAGTGGATTCAACGAGGACAAAGCAGCGGAAATCGGCCCAGCAGAACTGAGCGCGGGGCGAGTGCAGCGAGAATACGATCTAGCGTAGATAATCAAGAAGAAAACAGAACAGATTAACCTCCGACCTGTTGCACATGACATATTGTTTATTCCATCACTGCTTATTTATTTGAATTATAGTCAGTCAATAACTAATTGAGATTGAATCTAACTAATTCTTTGGAGTCAATATTTGCTTAAATACAAAGGATATTTGGTGCGCGAGGAAAAAAAAATAAAATCATAATTTGAATTTCAATTGATCGATAACTGATTCAAATTTGAATACAATTATTTAATTTGAAGTTGCATGATTAAAGCATTGTTAATCTATGAGTTTGTTAACATTTATCAATTGAATCCACATGTTTGATAACAAATTGATTGTTAATCAGCCAATCTGTAATGAAAATTATTCCTTTTAGGTGTACAAAAATTAAATTTAATAAGTAGACTAATAAATTATTTTTTTCTATATATGTTGTAATCAGTTTTTACTTACATGTGAGCATGCTCGCCCAAGGCAAATCGACCCTTGACAAAGGAATATCTTTTTTAAAACTGTGCTGATTCCAGAAGAGTAGCAGAATTAAGAACAAATTTAATTGTTCGCTAAAAAAATTAATTTTTGAACTTTTGTGAAATACTTAATAAATTTTGTATACTCGACAAAAAATACCATATTAAAT